ACCAGTCACGCAAGAAGGTGCAGAATTTCTGACTAGTTGTACGGTAAACACCAATGGCTGGAGACAATTGGTGAAATGGCTCAAAATCGTTCTCAGTGGCGCAGATGCATCCAATCCTTGTGACTTATAATACTCAATAAAACGATATGGTTCTTCGATATTACTATTCTTTTGCCTCATATCTCCGTTGACTGTGTGTATTTTGCATTTCTTTTTACTCTCTTCTTCTTCTGTGGCTTTATGTGCTGAGTGAAGTGTGGCGAATTAAACTACTGCACACCGGTGCAAAGTTCTATGTTGAAACGAGTTAGTCAGTCAGTGTATACTGGTTGATAAACTTCAGTCCTAAAAGGAGATTGTTGAAACCTTAGTGTTGTGCTTTACTTGACTAGTCATTTTGATGGATACCATAAAGTATCACGTGACAATTCGCACATAAGCCCTTAAACTTAGCACCTCAAGAACATCCATCTCTTCCTCTTTGTTTGCTGTAACGTTTAGACTGCTGTTATTTATGTTTTCTCGTTTCACTGTTACTTCCTCATCCTTCCTTCATTGACCGTCTCCACTTTTCACACATTTTATCCTATTATAGTCTTCTTGGAGTATGCAGTATCTCCCTATTTATATAGACTGTTGAATAGTTGGCAATTCTTGTCTCGGACTCTCAGTATGCTACGAATAAGTGATTGGAGACTTTTAGTAACTTGGTTTCGAATAGTTTGGTGAACGGTGACTAACAGTGGAATCCAGGATGCTCACTTCATCCTATTTGGGTCCCATCAACTGGATGTACCAGTGAATAATGGTATTTCCACTGAAGCTCGAAGCAAGTATCTGTGGTTTCAAACGTCAAAGCGTTATCCACTAGATGGCTTGAGCCACCTGGATTCCACTGCTAGTCACCATTCACCAATTTACTTCCACTTAAACAATCAGACATATTTGAATATTAAACCTATCTGATAGGGATTTAATCTTGTTGACTCATAATATGCAGAAGATATGGTCCTTCTAAGTGGTAAAGACGCTGACAAAATGTAGAGTCTTCTGAACACCTTGAGGAGCAGCAATCTTCGAATATTTGGCATGCGATTCTCTCACATCTCGCAAATGTAAGATGATGCTACAGGAATGGACTGGACTACATAGACTCATTCCTAGCTTGAAGATAGTCAGGAGTGAAGTCGTTGGCGTAGTGTGATGATCACTTCATTTATTTGGGAAGTTGCGTCAACCCGAGTAGTGGGTTGATTGCTGATGAAATTTCAGCGCAGATACATAAGGCTCGTTTACCATTTATCAGCAAACTGACATCATCTCTGGCTTAGTAGACATGATATCCGGTTGACCATAGACCGACTGACGTGTGTAGTTCACTTCCATCCCCTCCTTTATGACTGAGTGAGAAATGACTATCGAAAGTGGGAGACATGAAAAGTCTGACTAGCTATCCTTCAGCATAGGTGTCTGCGTTCTATCTATATCCCGTGTTAGTTGGTATAATAGGGTGAGTAATATTGTATTGAAGTTAAGCGTCGAGTGGTAGGCTAGGTAAAGAGAGAACAATCAACGAGGTTGTAAACTTACATCAATTGAGATGGTTAGGACATGTGTTATACATGCATCCCTGGCCATCGCTTTCCTCGATGAGAAATGTTAGCCGCTGACATAGGATGCATCAGGTTGGAAAAGAGTTAGTTAGTGGTGGTCAAAGCAGAACATGGCTTCATCAGTCAATCAAATCTGCAACAGTTAGTTTGAGCCAGCCAGTCGCGTATGAAGGTGTAGACTGCCTGACTGGTTGGGGTTCTTGAGGTGGTAAGAACCAATGAAGGCTAGAAGCAATTGGTGAAATGGCTGAAAATCCTCGTTCATTCACTGTTTGTAGTTTATCATATCCAGTGCGACTCTATTGTTCTTCCATATTGCCATTCCTTTTCCCTCACTCACACTTCTGTTTCCTATCTGTCTTTACTCTCTTCTGTTGGTTTGTGTGGTAAATGGGGGGGGGGGAGTATGACAACTAGAACTGCTGCGCATCAGTTCAAAGTAGTACTATGTTGAAACCAGTCTGTCAGTGATGGCGATTTAAGTTAGTGATCACAGCTTTTTTTTCTCCTTCACCTTCCCCAGTGGATCATAGGGCTTCAAGCTAGTGGCTTGAAGTTTCTGTAGCAATGTTTATTTTACAGGATGAGGTGGCTAGCCTCAGGCCCAACCTTTCCTCTTCACTAGCATTATTTCTGGCTTAGTGAGGTAAAGGAGTGAGTCGGCCAGGGATCGAACCCTGGACCATGTGCATGGTCGGCGAGCGTCCTAACCGCTATGCCACGGACACCCCACAGTGATCGCAGCTGTGACACTATAATCTCGATATGATAGTTTGGAATTAGTTTTACTAAATCTGTTTGGAAAATACTTGAGTTTAAAAGATTCTATATACCTTGTTCTTCAGGAGTATTAGGATACAAACATACAGTTAAACATAAAATTGTAGCTTTGTGTCCATTAGCTTAAATTAAGTGACACGTAAATACTCACCTCAATATCAACGGAAACGATGTGCTTCTAAAAGATTTTCATCTCAGTTAAGGGTATCACCTAATGCGTCACTTTTCGTGTGACTCATTGACTCATTCAATGGGTGTCGGATTCGAGTCTCTCCTCATCGTATTTCCGCCTGGAAAAGTTGTTGAGTCTTATCGATAACCATCATACAATGTATCTTTCCCTGGTACATAAAAATGTGGGTTCGTGTAAAAGTTTTATTACTGGTTTAGCGAAGTGAAGGAGTGCGTCAGCCGGCGATTGAACCCCAAACCATATGGGTGGTTGGCGAGCATTCTACGGCTGTGCAACCGACGCTTTCAAGGTGTATAGTAGTATTTATTATATGACAGCATTAAGTGTCACTAAAGATTGCTTAGTCAATATACAAATGATAAGATTAATTCGAATGTTTTAAGGGAGTGGAATTGAAGTGAATGAATTACAAAATTCTGAAAGATTATTATATAAATGAATGGTTATTGAGATTTTAGAAGTAGGCCAACTCTTTTAAAAAAGAAGTGAGAAGTCGTGATCAGTAGGGTGCAGCAGGTCGGGCGTGAGGACAAATACTCGCCGAAGACATTGGCTAGGGGTCGCGCTATGTCGTGAATTGGCAGAAGTTGGAATTCAAGGGCCATTGGATCGGGTCCCAGTGGCTTAATGGTATACGAGCTCGCCTTGTAACCAGAAGGCCCTGGGTTCGAATCCCGGTGGGTGCGTACTGATGAAGAGTCCCAAACTAGGACGAAACAGCTGTTCAGTACTCCCAGGTTTTCACAATGGTTCTCTAACTAATGTCAGCTCATGATGAAATCCTGTAACCAATCAAATCCCTACAAACCAACACTTGAAAATCTTTAAAAAAAGTTTGATCATAGATTGATATCAGTTAGAGAACCATTGAAAACAACCAGGGAGTACTAGACAGTTTTTTCGTCAGCCTAGTTTGGGACTCTTCGGCCGTACGTACTCCTCGGGTTTTGAACTCAGCCACTGAGACCCGGTCCAGTGGGCAGATTGATGACCATTAGTGAGGTTCACCCAGTCGGGAGTGAGGACGAATACTCTCCAGAGATGACATTAGCTGGTGCCAGTCGCGTTAAAATCACGAATTGGTAGGAGTTAGAATTCATTGAGTTGGGTGCTAGTGACTGAATGGTCTACCAGCTTGCCTTGTACCACGAAAGTCCTGGGTGCGAACCACTGTAGTGGGTGCGTACTAAAGATGAGTCCCAGACTAGGACAAAACAGCTGTCCAGTACTCCTTGCTAGCTTTCAATTGTCCTCTAACTGATATCAATGTTTGATCATATCCCTACAAACGTTTGAAAATAGGTCAACTTTTGTCAAAAAATTAAAAGTGCGAAGATGATGATAGGAAAAAAGGCGAAGACAAATTGAAGCGACAAAATAAAGAACATTCCTACAACTAAGGTAAAGCAAGGGGTTTAACGAAATGTTTTTGAATATATATAGTTTAGATTTTTTCCAATGTATAGCTAAAGAGCTTTGACTGTACAAAAGTGGAGCAAAAGTAAACTTTTAGAGTGAATGAAAAATGGAGGACTTCGTCATCCTATTCTCACTTTTCATCAAGCAAACCGGGCAGTGTTGAGCTACACGTCTCCAGAGAACACTTTTACAACGTCCATTGTAATGAGGTCCACAGAAGCATGGGAAAGATTATATGCACACATAGGTGGACATAAGTAGTAGTTTATCCTTCGCATATTTGCCGACTAAGTGTAAAACGAGTGTTTAATACACATGGACAGACGACTTTTAATCACCCCAGTAACAGTATCACATTCGACTTCTAAACCCTCGTGAACCCGTGTCTTCTTTGGCACTATCATTTACCTAGCAGTGGTTTCTTTCGTCATGTTTCTTTCAATAAACCTTCTAGGATATCCATTGCGTGTGAGTAATGCTCGGGTCATATTAATTAATTAATTAATTCAGTTTTAGATTTTCTCGTCGATTGATGGGATCAAAGTGCTCGGTCTCAGGTGGACATGTCGGCTTCTTGTGACATCGTCGAAGCATCTGCACAAGAAGCCGACATGTCCACCTGAGACCGAGCACTTTGATCCCATCAATCGACGAGAAAATCTAAAACTGAATTAATTAATTAATATGACCCGTTGCACAAGAGGTGGCTGGCGCAGCCGAAGTGGTCTAGTGGATAACGCTTTGGCGTTTGAAACTATGGACACTGAGTTTGAGCCTCGGTGAGACATCATCACTCACTGCGGAATGCAGGTACATCCAGCTGGCGGACGAGTTCCAAATAGGATGAAATGCGTCTCGTCCTGGATTCCACTGCTAGTCACCATCCACAAACTAAACAAATGTAATACATATTTCTTGAGTAACGTAATCATTTTGTACTAGAATTTATGATCTATTTCTCACCTAATCCATATTTCTCTTTTTTTCTCTCTAGAATGTTCACCATTTCGAGTAAACTTTATCGATTCGGTGTAATCCCTTTTCATGTTACCACTGGTAGCAGGTATATTCATTCAGTTGTATGCGCCGTGTCTGGTGGTGTAGACAGTGCTGTTTCTGCATATTTATTAAAAAAGAAGGGTAAGTCATTCCCCACTGTTATTATTTGTCTAAAGATGCATTTTAGGATTTCAAGTCAAAGGTGTATTTATGACCAATTGGGATGTATTAGATGAAAAAGTCGACTGTTCTATAGATAAAGATCGTCAAGATGCTCAGTATGTTTGTGAACATTTGGGCATACCATTCTATGAGAAAAATTTTGTCAAAGAATATTGGAATTATGTATTTCTGTAAATTGGTTTTTAGTTCACTCTTCATTTCTTTAGACCCCTAATTAAATCCTATGAACAAGGTGCTACACCGAATCCAGATATTTTATGCAATAGATTTGTAAAATTTAATATGTTCACAAAAGCTGTGCTAAAGGGTGGCAATCATGAGGATAACGATGGTGGTGATGGTGATTCATCAAGTTTAAAAGCTGATGCCATTGCCACTGGTCATTATTGTAGAAATTCTTTTGGTACATATCTACAGCATAAAAGGAGTGATGTTGAAGCCCAGTTACTACGATCTGCTGATCCAGTAAAAGATCAAACCTTTTGGTTATCAACTGTAAGAGTTGTGTGAGTTGTTTTTATGTGTTGTTTGTTTTATGCTAAATATGTTTGCTTTGGTTTGTGTTCTTTTTTCGTCGTTGTTGTTGTTGTTGCTGCTGCTGGTTAGCTCTACAGGCATATATCTCTTGTGTAGTTACTTTGTAGTGAGAGCTATCTGCTAGCCAAATCGGTAGGCAGTAATTTACGTCAATGTTTGTTTTTATTCCTTCACGTTCCCAGTGGAACATAGGGCTTCAAGCTACAGTCTTGAAGTTTCTTTAGCAGTGTTTAGTTTTACAGGATGGGGTTGCTAGCCTCATGCCCAACCTTTCCTCTTTACCAGCATTATTTCTAGCTTAGTGAGGTAAAGGAGTGCGCCGGCCGGGGATCGAACCCCAGACCATATGCATGGTCGGCGAGCGTCCTAACCGCTATGCCACCGACGCACGTCAATGTTTACGTCCCAAATATTGGTCATGTGAAAACAAGAACAAAGACTGACTCAACAACCAATCACAGCAGACTTTGCGTAGGCGAATACAATAAAGGCAGATAGATGATCTGACCTTGAAGAAACAGTCACAAAGAGATGAAAGACTAACTTTCAGTGAGAAACAACCAATCAGAAGACTTTGTTTTTCTGCTAACAATAACCTATAATAATGTACATGAAAATCTATTCCATAATAAAGGATCTGTTGCCTGACCCTTGTCTTCTGTTGTTACAACTTTAGTTAGTGTTAGCCTTATGAGACAGTCACTCATTGATTTTCTGTTGATTCATTTTACGTTCCGAGTAGGATATAAGTGGCTTCAAGCTTGAACTTTGAAGTTTCAATAGTAGTGTAACGATAGAAGACAAGGGCCAGGAAACAGATCGTTTATTGAGAAAATCAACATATATTTATAGATTTTTATGTACATTGTTATTAGCGTTATAGTTAGCAGAGAAGCAACGTCTTCTGATTAGTTGTTTTCTTGCTGAAGGTTATTCTGTCATCTCTTTGTGGCCGTTTCTTAGAAAGTCAGGTCGTATATCCGCGAACCGTATTCGCACACGTTAAGTCTTCTGTGATTGGTTGGTGAGTTCCCCAAGGTTAAGCTTAGTTATTGTTTTTTCTTATGACCCCGATATGGTACGTAAACATTGACGTCAATTGTTGTCTACAATTTTGACTTGTTCGCAGACAGCTCTCACCACAGTAGTTGTGCTGTTTTTTACAGGGTTGGAGTTGGTGGCTTCAAGTTAAACCTTCTTTCTTTACTACCAGTTAGGAGAGTTCTTGAGAGTGGGTCGGCCAGCTGGGAGTTAAACCCGGACCACCTGCGTAATCTGTGAGTATTCCACCGTCGACTGACTAACTGGTTGGTTTCAGTACAGAACTTTGCACAGATGTGCAGCGGTTCCAGTTTCCACACTCTTTCCATGAAGCACACACAGTCGTAGAGGAAAAAGAGAGCAGAAACTCAAACGACTTCTGATGAGCGAAAATGTGCTGGAGAAAGAATAGTAGCATGGAAAGAAAATTAGGGTTTGATAGATTCGGGAGATTAGAAAGACTGGAATGCATCTGCACTATTGAGAACGATTTTGAGTCATATTGTGGTGAGAGCTGTCTGCTAGCCACAATTGTAGACAGAAGTTTACTTCAATGTTACGCCCCGAATCGGGGTCATGAGAAAAACAATAACAAAGCTTAACCTTGAGGAACTCACCAACCAATCACAGCAGAGTTAACGTGTGCAAATACGATTCGCAGATATATGGCTTAACTTTCTGAGAAATGGTCACAAGCAGTACAGAATAACCTTCAGCAAGAAAACAACCAATCAGAAGACATTGCTTCTCCACTGACAATAATGTACATAAAAATCTATAAATATCTGTTGATTTTCCCAATAAACGATCTGTTTCCTGGTCCTTGTCTTCTATCGTTACAATATCATTAATTGTCTCCAGCCGTTGGATCTTACCACCTCAACGACCTCAACCAGGCAGTCTGCACCTCTATGCGTGGCTGAAACTGACTTCATGGATTGATGTGAGTTTTTGGTTTTCACCAGCCTTAACTCTTTTCCAGCCTGATCCATACTCTGTCAGCTAAGATCGTTCGACGAGAGGAAGACGGTGGATTGGCATATGCAACCCGTGTCATAGCCATTTCAATCGACTCATCTTCACCACCTTATCAATTGCTTAACGCTACTCCCAACTCCAATATTGCTCACCATATTATACTGCTTAACACAGGAGGTAGAACACAAACATCTGTGTTCGAAGACAGCTATAGTTTTCATATCTTCCACTTTCAATGGTTATGACATAAAGGACGAGAAAGCAAATTGTTGCGGAATACAGACATTCTTTAATAGGTAACTGGATATCGCGTTTGTTAAATGACCACATGAATCTTTTGTATACGCATTTAAATTTTTCTCAGCAATCAGGACAGTGCGGCCTGATGCAAGTATGTAACGGCCTTATTTTATTGATCATATTTTAGATTTCTCATAAAGAACTTCAACATTGTATGTTTCCTGTTGGTGATCTGTCAAAGCCTCAAGTGAAACAAATTGCTCAAGATATTGGTCTTTCACGTATTTGTTCTAGACGTGAGGTAGGTGTATGTTGTTATTGATCTTTTTTGTTTTTTTTTTTTTTGCTTTTGATTTTTTGTTAAACTCCTTATGTTTTGTTATAAGATTTCATCATGAGCTGACATTGGTTACAGAACCATTGGAAAACCTGGGATTTCTAGACAGTTTGGGACTCTTAACCGGGTTCGAACCCAGGACCTTCTGGGTACAAGGCAAGTTCATAGACCATTAAGCCACTGGGACCCGATCCAATGGCCAGTCCATGAATTCCAACTTCTGCCAATTCACGCATGACATATCGCGACCAATAGCCAATGTCTTCGGCGAGTATTAGTCCTCACGCCCGACCTACTGTATCCTACTGGTCATAACTTCCCACTAGAACCTCAAGTAACTACTTACCCGAATAGGACCAGTCACCAGTGAGCATCTCATTGATATTCAAGTATTGGTTTGTAGGTATTTGATTAATTAGTTACAGGGCCCCATCATGAGATAATATCGGTTACAGAACCACTGGAAAACCACCATGGAATACTGGACAGCCTGCTGTTTTGTCCTAGTTTTATTTTCATAGTTGTTTTCTGTCAAAAAATTTATTAGTCTTAAACTCATACTCAGTTACTATAGGCCAACGTGAAGAAACTGGGAAGTATCATAAAACCGACTGTGCGTGCGTTGTACCAGATATAGGTTGCTGGTGTAGTGCACGTGCGCTTGCATTTATAACTCAAAGCTGACGATATTTATCTCTGGTAATCTCGATTGTTAGTAACTGGATGTCATTAATTATTCAGTGAAGTGTTAGAATAGTAATTGGCAGATTATTGGTTTGGATCTCACGTTGAGACAGATCTTAATTCCATCTTCAGTTGTCACTTATTAATTATTTCAATTATAAGTATCTTTATAATGAATATTTACATAAAATGATTAGAAATTTGAAAACAAGGATGCACTGGATAATTGTTTCGTCCTAGTTGAGGACTCTTCAACAGCGTGAGACCACAATCCCACAAGCGATTGAAACCCGGGACCTTCAGATTACGAGACCGAACTCGTTGACCACTGAAGGTGTTAGGAGGATTTCAAAAACTGAAGTGCTCATAGTCCATAATTCTGCTCAAAATATTACCATGTCTGATAGACTGACTGAGTTATGAACACAGAACTTTGCACAGAAGTGCAGCAGTTCAAATTTCTTCACTATATGTGTAGTACATAAGGGAAGATGAAAGAGAGAAAACAAGAATTATAGTGAGCAAAAATATGTATCACAATGAATAGTAACATAGAAAAAACGTTAGAGTTTAGTGAATATAGAAGATCACAGGGAGTGACTGCATCTTTGCCGTTGATAACGTGTTTAAACTATATAACCAACAGTCTCTAACTATAAGGCTTTCATTTATGTCTAACCTCCACACTGTCTTCGAATTTCAAAATGAAATATATATATATATTTTATTTCCTTCACGTTACCCAGTGGAACATAGGGCTTCAAGCTAGTGGCTTGAAGTTTCTGTAGCAGTGTTTATTTTACAGGATGGGGTTGCTAGCCTCATGCCCAACCTTTCCTCTTCACCAGCATTATTTCTGGCTTAGCGAGGTAAAGGAGTGCGTCGGCCGGGGATCGAACCCCGGACCATATGCATGGTCGGCGAGCGTCCTAACCACTATGCCACCGACGCAATTATTTAATTCAATTTAGATTTTCCCATCGATTGATTAGACCGAAGTGCTCCATCTCACGTTAACATGTCAGCTCCTTGCGCAGATGCTTCCACGACGTCTGGTCATGTAACTTGAAGTAAATTAGTGTATGGTGACCAGTAATGGAATCCAAGACAAGGCGCATTTCGACCTATTTGGGACTAGTCATCCGTTTGTACCTGCATTCTCCAGTGAGTGGTGGTGTTCCCACCGAGGCTCGAACTTAGTGCTTGTAGTTTCAAAAGCCAAAGCATTATTGACTAGGACCTGACGTGTCAACCTGAGACCAATCACTTCGGTCCACTCAATCGATGGGAAAATCGTAATTGAATTAAATAATTAATCAAACCTGTTGCACAGGAGGTGGCTCTCATGACCCAAGTGGTCTAGTGGATAACACCTTGGCACTCTGGGCACTGGGTTCGAGCCTCGATGGGAACCGACATATTAACCTGAGGCTGAGCACTTTGATCGAATCCATCAAGGCGAAAGTCCGAATTAAACTGAATAATCACATTTGTTGTTTAAATCTTGTCATATTTTCATAAATCAAATCATGGTATGGTGTCTACTGTAGTTGTTGTGGCTATTTTTTAATAGTAAAGCGCACAATTGTCTTTACCATCCATGTGATTCTACACAAAATCACGTTTATATATTGTTCATCTGAATTGTGTGGAGAGTTATCATCATTATCATCGGTGTAGAACTTTTGCATAGAAGTGCATCCCTTTTCAAGTTGATACACTTCGGAATATCATAGACTATAAACAAAAGAAAGGGAACGTAATGTGACACTATAATAGGTAAAAATTTATTATTATTGTTTCCTTTAATTCGTAGAGGAACATAGGGCTTCAGCTGCACATCTCCATTGCGTACGGTTCTCCGCCAACGTTTTCACCTGGCTCCACGTCTGCTCACCTACTTTCATCTCCTCTTCGCATGACATCCTCCACTCCACTTCACCCCACCCCCGCACTGACGACCAACTCGCCACTTCCCATTCGGGTTCCACTCGAGCGATGGATTGGCTTCTGATGTCACTCACTTGATGGATTTCTCAGAGTATGGCCAATCCCTCTCCATTTCTTCTTGCATATTTGTTGCACAATTGGTTCCTGCTGGGTTGGTTCGTTCATTGCCAGAGATCCCTCCCTGTTGCTGATCTTTTCTGGCCAGCCATCTGATCTTGAGTGAAGTATTGAGCGAAGACAGCTGTTGATGGTGTGTAGTTTGTTTGAAGTGCCCTTCGTGACAGGTGAGAATTTATACGTGGGAGGAAATAATTAACTGAAGGTTGCTTACATCTTTCAGAATCTAGAAGATCACATCTGTACTATGTCACGAATAGCCTCACACCATTGTTTTTTTTTAACATCTTAAGGACCGAGGCCAGGTGGTTGACACCTTTCTAAGTGGCTCAAATCAACAATTAAATACTTCATATTATTGGTAGGAGCTGTGACGACGCACTGATTTATGTATTCGACTTCAAATCAGTAAGTAGGTAACAGTTTTCTGTCCGGTTTCATCTACCAAGGTTTGGACAGCTGAGTAGGATTACTAGCCCAAACACAATCCCAACTGTATGCGATTGAAATTGGTTGTTGAGAAATATATTTCCTTGCCTTCTCATCCTCCTATTAAACAATATTTTACGTGTTCCTTTTGTGTTTTTAATTTTTTTAGAGTATGGGTATGTGCTTCATCGGGAAAAGACGGTTTTCAGATTTTATTGATAATGTAAGTTTTTGCCTTTGTTTTGTGATTTTACAGATAATTTCTTATTAAAATGAAGTTAGAAAAGAATGTCTGTTTGTTTGTGTGTGTGTGTGTCGTTTAGCTGGTCCATTGAATTTCAGTTGTTAAATTTCGTCAAGAACCAGCACCAATTAGAGACCTTTGAAAGTCTTTGCAACGACCGTGAACAGTGGTGGGCGACAAAGGCGAAAGAGATGGAAAAGGTATCAGCGATTGGTAACACTAGAGACAATTATTTAGACTTATCAGGGAAACAGGTTGTAAAAGGGGCAAATGGCAAGCATAACAATCTCTGAGAAAAAAAAATGGCATCATAATTAGCTCTCCGGATAGACGATTGGAACGTTGGAAAGAACACTTTTTTGAGAAGCAATTTAATTGGCCTGCAGCCAGCCACGTTCAGACCGTAACCGAATAAACTTGGTCGTTGTAATTCTCAACAGTCGAGTGAAGCAGCTATACGGGCAGTATACGTTTTCAAATACAAAACAAGTACTTAAAAATGAGGAGTATATTCCCAAACCAGGTGAGGATCAAAAGCTCTGTCGACGGTACCATCTTATTCTTCACAAACTGTTGTCCTTGCTTCATTCAAATTCATAAAGAAGGATAAATGTATGGAGTTTCTGCATTTTTCCTTGCAGTATGACGCTATGTGGTGTTTCCTCATACTGGAACGGTTGAAGATGAAGACTTGTAAAGGAATTCCCTGTTAGGAACTTGGTATCTCTATATAGCCAAATTATGTACACCTTATCCCCAACGCACCATTTGCACAGAGATTCGTGTTGTGGTACTTCTAGCCTTCCTATTGTGTTTCTTTGTGTTCATTTCACGTCTCCCGCGTATCTCTACAATGCTGTATCATTTGCATTCTCTGACGTCAAATTTATCTCCCTGCTATTTGATGCTTTTACGCCCGTCGATGAACGTCTCTTTATATACTACTGATAAATCTTATCAGTAGCACTCGCCAAAATACTGTTCTTATTTCTAATTGTTTCCCTTTTGTGCTCATACATATTTTTTAGTATTTGGAACCGAAACCTGGTGTCTTTAAAGATCTTGAAACTAATCTAGTCTTGGATGAACATACAGGTAAATTATGCATTTTCATATTGTCCATCCTTTTCCGCCTAAATTTCTTTATTCTTAGTCGACATCACATATCTTTTGTTTGTTTTGATGCGTAAAATCCCTGTCAGATTATTCAACTTATGCCACTCTTTCGTATCATTTGTCTTTGTAGCACACTTCTTAAGTTATGGGACAACAGGGGCTAATGTTGAAATGGTGTCACAGTGGAAGTCTATTCTGGATGTCATATTCGATGTGTGGCGGTTTCTAATACCAGCTAGATATGATGGAGATTTGTAGCTCAGGTGGATGGTTTTGATTTTGATGTAGTTGTGTTCTCTGAGCTGGATATTTTATTTTCGAAGCTTTCTCTACCCCCTACTAGGCAACATCCTCACCTCAGCGCATACTTCAATTTGATGAAGTGAGCTTTTAGATTTCTCCTCCACGAGTTTATTAGTCATCTCTCCTGGTAGGTGACCTGACCTTGAACGTGATTGGTTGTTTTCGTGTGTTTTCACACCCTCTACGCTACTTGTATCAGTACTGATTGTTTCCCTGACCTGAACTTTGATCCTTCTTATCGGTTGGTAAATTTTGTCTATGTCCATGTGTCTATTGACTGACGATTCACTGGAATACCGGGCTTCTAAAACCATTCTCTAGCATCCTTGGTGTTTCCTCTGTTTAATATTTGAACGTTGATTGTCCCAGTCGAATTGATGTCCGTGGTTGTCTGTATGCAGCGGTATGAGCGAGGGAGTGGATGTCATATCTTTTGACGGCTAGCTTATGTTCATGTATACGAAGACGAAAGGGAAGTACACCTTCGCCGATATAGTGCTTTCGGCAGTTGCTACAACCTATTTTGTAGATGATGTTGGTTGTTGAGTCTTTTGGTTGACATAGAGCCGGCTGAGTGAAGTGATTTTGTTGGTTTGTGTGCGACGGCAATTCTAAAAGATTCGAAGAGTCTTGCAGCGATTTCTGACATGTCTTTTATATATGGTAGGGCAACTTTCTTTGTGCTTTTCTTGGGAGCCTTTAATTTGGTAGGTTGGCTTGAAGGTAGATGTCTTTTGATGAAATTCAGTGGATATCCATTCTTTTAGAAGATGTCCATGAGATATCTTTCTCCAATTTTCCTTAAGGTGGGAGTGCTGCAATGAGTCCTGGCTGGTCCTCTTGAATAGTGTTTGTATGCAATTCCTTTTGTGTGTTATTGGATTGTTGCTGTTGTAATTCAGTATTTGGTCTGTTTGAGTTGATTTTCTATAAACTTGAGTTTCTAATTCCTCTGTCGTTGTTCTCTTGACGAAGACGTTCAAAAATGGCATTTTCTTCTCGGATTCCTCTTCACTTGCAAATTTAATGTCGTTGATAACGCTGTTTATTAAGTTGTGAGTTTTGTCCAACTCGTTTCTTTTGATTATTACAAATGTGTCGTCTACGTAACATATCCAAATTTTGAGTTTGATCTTTGGTAGGATTATGTTTTTGAGCCTTTGCATCACTGCTTCTGCAATCAAACCTGATATTGACGATGCCATGGGTGTTCCTTTGACTTGTTCATATATTTGGCCGTTGAATTGGAAGTACATTGTTAGGCATAGGTTTAGTTTATGCATTCAATCCATTTTGGATTGTTGTGGGTGTGAAAACGGACAAAAACAGCCAATCACGGTCAACGTCAGGGTACCAGGAGAGATGGCTAATAAACTCATGGAGAATGTTAAAAGCTCACTTCATCAAATTGAATTATGCGCTGAGGTGGGGATGTTGCCTAGTAGGGGGTAGGGAAAGCTTCGCAAATAAACCGTCCAGTTAGCTCAGAGAACACAACTACATCAAAATGTAATACTTTCTGTTTACTTAGGTTGAATTACGTGTGGAGGAGTATGTATTTACAGTTTACTAAATAAGAAGCTAATGCTTGAATCCACGAGATTAAGAAAAGAATTGATACACCCTCTTGAAGGATGTCATATCTCTGATTGAACACTAAGTAGCAAGTGACTAGTCCTTGGTGTTGGTGAAGACTGAATTCTATCAGTCAAGTTCGCAATGTGGCCATCATCATACTAGGTGGATCGCAGTCATAGTGCATGTGGAACTGTTGATATTAGATGGATGGAAGCAATTTGTAGGGGACTTTGCATGACCTAGGTTTCGTGCTAGTTGGCACTCACGAGTCAGCAGCAAGGCGTATCTGCAACCTTCTGAGATTCGAAGCCGCGTCACTCAGTGCGGCAGTCACAGACGTTATCACTAAGCTATTCGGGGTTACGATTTACCTTCTGTAAGACTGTAATGCGTGGTTGGCTGCTTTCAACATAGAACTTTGCACAGATGTTCAGCAGTTCGAGTCGCCACACTCCATGTAGCACACAAAGCAAGAGAAGAAAGTAAAAAGAAATGCAAAATAGAGACAGTAAAGAGAGATATGAGGCAAAAAGAATAGTAATATCGAATATAGTTTCATTGGAAATTATGAATCACAAAGAGTGGATGCATCTGCACCAGTCATTGAGAACGATTTTGAGCCATACCCCCGATTGTTTCCAGCCTTCATTGGTGTTTACTGTCATGAAGACCCCAACCAGTCAGGAAGTCTACTTCTTCCTACGTAGCTCAAACCAACTGTCGTGGATTTCATTGACTGATGAGGCCATGTTTTGATTTGACCACCGCCCACTAGCTGTTTTCTAAGCTGATCCATCCTATGTTAGCTAACATTGCGTGTTGTCGAGGAAGGCGATGGCTATGGAGACGTGGGTAACACATGTCTTAACCATCTCAATCTATGTAACTTCACAACCTCATCTATTGATTTCCCCCGCTTAAATAGCACTTGTCCAAAGCCTCACCTCAGTATTACTCACCCTATTATACGACTTCACATGGGAGATAGAACACAGGCACCTATGATCAAAGACAGCTAGTCAGGCTTTTTTCACGTCTTCCACTCTCAATGGCCAGGTCTCACTCACAGCCATAAAGGAGGACGGAGCGGACTGCTGAGCAGTACACACGCCCTTTGGTCGATAGCCAGCCAGCCGGATATCACGTCTACTAAGCCAGAGACGGCGTAAGTTGGCATATGCGAAACTAGCTTTCTGTATCCGTGCTGAGATTTTGTCAATGATCAACCCACTGGCGTTGGCTGATGCAACTTCCCAAGTAAGTGAAGTGGTCAACACGCTCCACCAACCAATTCAGCAAATTCACTGCATGCATTTGCACACAACCATACAATAGGGTGGGAGAGGGTTACAATTCTAAGATGTCATGTAGGTAAATGGAGAGCGACAGAGATTGATTACTGAATCCTGCCTGGTTCATCGAGTCTACACCAAACACGTGCAATAGGAATGACTCATCACTCATACCGGAAATATGGAAAATACTACTACCAATCAAGTCAAGCGATGAACTGAAATAATGGAATTATATAAACGAGGTTGGAAAGTTGTGTGAGTGAATAGTGCCTTGATATAATTATGAGTGGCAATGATAAATTGTGCTCGAAACGTGGTCATTAGTAAATATTACTTACTGTATAACACACTGTGAGACTTTATCAAAATAAATTCTACCCATAATAGAATTATTTATTTATTTTTATTATTTCTTCACGTTCCCAGTGGAACATAGGGCTTCAACCTAGAGGCTTGAAGTTTCTGTAGCAGTGTTTATTTTTACAGGATGGGGTTGCTAGCCACATGCCCAACATTTCCTCTTCACCAGCCTTTAGTTCTGCCTTAGCGAGGTAAAGGAGTACGCCGGCCGGGGATTGAACCCCGGACCATGTGCATGGTCGGCAAGCGTCCTAACCACTATGCCACCGACGCACACAATAGAATTATACTTCTATTGAATTTCTTTTCTTTTTATCGCATAAAGTGTAGCAAATTGAAGTGCTGAACTTCTGTGTTTACTTTGAAACTGTGTCTATCTGATTCTCTGCTACTTTATTTTCTTCCACCTCTTCTCCTTCAGGTGTACATCATTTCACTCAAGGCCAAAAAGCTCGTATCAAACGTTTTACTGGACCATATTATGTTGCTAAAATGGATCCTCAAAATCAAATAATTTATGTTGTAAGTAAAATCCTCATTGCCTCTGTTGTACATGAGTATAATAATTTATAATGTGCGTCGATGGTCCAAGGGTAGTATGATTACCGACTATGCATGTGGTCAAGGGTCCGATTCCCGGCTGACGACCCTTCCTCTTAAACCTCCTCACTTGGAAGGTAGTAAACTCGGAGCAGAGGGAAGATTTGATGTGAAGCTAACAACCGCACTCCGTTAAAAACAACACAAGCGCTAATGAAACGCCAAAGCTTGAAGCCATGTATTTCACTTTACTCAGAACATAAAGGAATGAGAGAATGCCTTACGAGGTAATGACTAAAGTCTACGGTATCGGAGCTGGCGGCCCGCAGTTCAAACCTCAAAACTTTGACGTCGATAAATAGAAATTTTTATGAGTTTGTTTGTAGCGATTTGATTTTGTCTCAAGTTGGATGACGGATTGATGTCAGTTAGAGAACCATTGAAAACCAGCAGGGACTACGGTCAGACAGCTGTTTCCTCCTGGTTTGTGGGAATCATCGATAGTACGCATCCACTGGAATTCAAACCCAGGATTTTCCGTTCACAAGTCAAGCTCGTAGACCACACAGCCAGTGAGAAAACCGACTCAGTGGCCGGGGCGTGAATTCTAACTTCTACCGATTCGTGATTCTAGCGCTGCTGACACCAATCAGTGTCATCTGTGACGAATATATTATTACTATTATTATTCTCTTGCGTTCCTAGTGGAACATAGGGCTTCAACAACAGTTCTCCACTTTGTTCTGTTTTCTGCCGTCCTCTTCAGATGGGTCCACGATTGACCAAACTCTCTCATCTCTTCCCCATCACACGATCTCCTCGATGTTACCCTCGCTCTGACGACCAACTCGTCGCTTCCCATTTGCATTCCACTCGAGCAAAGGCCTGCATTACATGCGACCTCATTCGACGGCTTCCTCAATGTATGCCTGACCCATATCCATTTTTTCCTACATATTTGTTCAGCGATCGACTATTGATTGGTTTGTTCCACTGCAGAGTTTCTTGTTACTAATTCTTTCTGGCCATTTGATGTTTAGTATGGAGCCAACGAAGCGGACAGCTGTTGAAAGTCTTCAACTGGCTGTTGGAAATCCATTTCGTGACACGCCATGTTTCTGACCCATATAGAAAGACCGACTTGACATTGGTGTTGAAAATCCTAATCTTGTTCCTGATGCTAACTGAGTGCGGAAGATTTCCAAACTGGTTTCAGGTTGATGCCTTTCTGATTCTGACTTTGAATACTTCGTCCGTTCCGCCTGAAGTTGAAACGATGCTTCCCAGATAAGTGAAGGAGGTAACCTCTGCTAAATCTCTCCCGTTGGTGATGATTGGTATTTGTCCTGAATCCCTACCGGGTGGATGGATCCAACCAGCCACAACTTCTCACTATAATTCCAGGCGACTTTTCTTGCAGCCAGTCACTAGCGAGCATCAGATTAATTTTCATGAGCTATTGAGTGGGGTTGCAGTAGCTGAATGGTCTACAAGCTTGCCTTGTTACCAAAATGTCCTGTGTTTGGAACCCAGTAGGTGAGTACTGCCGACGGGTCTTAAAGTAGGACGAAACAGCTGTCTGGCAGTAGTCCCTGCTGGTTTTCAATGGCTTTCTAACTGATATCAATCCGTCATCAAACTTGAAAAAGAAATTTAACGATTTGTGGTGTCTTATAGAAAAATGGATATATTTCTTCAATTACGTTGAAATTATAGCCATTATTTAGATAAGTTAACTGTGATGAAAACATTTTCAGAATATGTGAAATCAGGAACCATACACCTAATGAGCACAGTGACAAAGCTTGTTTTTAAATTTCAGGAAATAAAACGGATTTTTTAGCTTCGGCTTAGTGAATGACAGTCATGCATTCAAATTTACCGAACGGCAGGTACGGTAGATGTAAGAAAACACATTCATGAAGTGTCACTTTTGTAATTTTACCATTCTGATTTCCCAATCAAACTGTACACAAATATTGTATTGTAAGTAAGTATTGGTTTGTAGGGATTTTGATTGATTGGTTACAGGATTTCATCATGAACTGACATCAGTTAGAGAACCATTGGAAAACCTGGGAGTACTGGACAGCTGTTTCGTCAGCCGAGTTTTGGACTCTTTAGCAGTACGCACACAACGCCAGGGTTCGAACCCACGACCTCCTGGTTACAAAGCTAGCTCGTAGACCATTAAGCCACTGAGACCAGATCCAATGGCCAGCCCCTGAATTCTGACTTCTGCCCATTCACGATATAGCGCAACTGCTAGCTAATGTCTTCGGCGAGTATTTGTCCTCACACCCGACCTGCTGCACCCTACTAGAACCTACCTGAATAGGGCCAGTCGTCAGTGAGCAATTCATTCAACTTGCTCTCAATCCTTTTGCTAAATGCTCATCACAAAATTGGAAGGGCGAATACGAACGTTGAGGCGCTTACAACCGGACTGGTGAACAACCAGATCTACCTAGGAGTGGTGGAAAACCCTGATTCTGAGCCTGCTGTGTACATGGACTTGGGAATGCCAAAGGTTTCAGTGACGGCGTATGAACCTTTTTCGGTCACCGGAAACTATAGGAACGTAGCTTGTTACGCTGTTCCACTGAGACTTCAAGTCAAAGGCTTGGAGTGTTGCTGGTCCCTTAAGAAAACCAACCCTCCTAGGTCTGAGTAATATCCCAGCATTTGTACAAACTATGAGGTTTTGTGTGGTGCATATTTTGGTGGCCATAATGTAACAAGTTTGTTTTGCTGAAAATAAATCATAAACTAGTCGATTTCATTGTCTAAAACCCTAAATTTATATGATAGAGACACAGTTATCCGTAGAAGAGATAATATAAAAGGGGTCTTGCAGATAGAATACGTAGACTTACACAACAACACCAAACGACCAGTGAAAAAAAATAAACGTCTTAGTCAAAATGTTACTCGACAACAAAATACCCAAAAGAATTTATCAGAGACAAGGTAAAAAAAAGAAGAGGGTAAAACCGGAGAATAAAAAGAAAAACCAGTCACGATGCCTTACAAAAATGATGCATCAAAGGCCAGGCAATTCGAAGAAACCTCAACAATATTGGGATTCGCACGACGTTTAAACCGACGAATCTAATTAAAAATAAGATTAATCAACTGAAAGATCCCATAAAAAATGATGGATAAAAGTATTAATGCAATTTAGAGAATATCTTGTGCCGAGGGTCCGACTAAATCTGTGGGTCAAACGTCCAGATCATTGAAAATAAAAGTGAATGAACATACACGCCTCCCTAACTAAAGGTCAACCAACAGGAACACAAGCTTACAAAAATCTTGAAAAAAATTCATCGATAGCTGGGACAAAAACCACAATAACGATTGGAACAATGTTTGTATTCTAGAAACTAATACGAACAAATGGAAAGAGAGACTTATAACAGAGTCTGCTATTCATTAAGGTCACACCGGATATATGTAGCAAGGGTGTTTCAGCAGCACAACTGTCAACAATCTGGAATATTTGAATGTTGGTTTGTAGGGATTTGATTGGTTACAGGATTTCATCATGAGCTGACATTATTTAGAGAATCATTGGAAAACCTGGGAGTACTGGACAACTGTTTCGTCCTAGTTTGGGACTCTTCAACAGTACGCGCCCACCGGGGTTCGAACCCACGACCTTCTGGTCCTAGTGGCTTAATGGTCTACCAGCTCGCCTTCTGACCAGAAGGTTCTGGGTTCGAATCTCGTTGGGCGCGTACTGTTGAAGAGTCCCAAACTAGGACGAAACAGCTGTCCAGTACACCCAGCTGGTTTTCCAATGGTTCTCTAACCAATGTCAGCTCAAGATGAAATCCTGTAATCTGGAATGTAATTCTGAATACACATAAATGAATGAACTACCCATATATGAGTAGAAATCATAAATGTGTGAATTAAAAAAAACAATTTCAACAGTTGGTGTGAACACCGGCAGTAATTTTGCTCGAAATATTGCCAATAAGAAAATCTTATCATTTAATTGGTGGATAGTGACTAGCAGTGGAATCCAGGATGAGCATTTCGTCCCATTTGGGACTCGTCAACTGGACGTACCTGCATTCATTGTCTGTAAACTATTAAAATACATAATTATACTTTATTTAATCTATTCCATAATCCTCAATCTTTTTGCTGAAATTAACGTATGTATATGCTTTTCTTTTTGATAATGATATAACTCCTCTTAAATTTCAATCTCAGGTTCGAGATCCATCTCATCCAAGTTTATTTATGCGTAAATGTTGGTGTGGTCCAGCAGTGTGGATCAATTCCTATCCATTCTCATCATTGAACTCAAAAAATATACAATTTCAATGGCAAAATAAATGGCGTCCAGTTAACTGTGTTTTAAAACCATTTGAAGATGTCTCATCAGCCGCAGCCTACATTAAACAGAGTATACAACGAGAGGATCATCATTGTCAGATAGATAATTCTGCAGCATTGACCAATATCATTGATACATCTATTGAAGAAGGGAATAGAACCACGGGACCATGTCTTGCAGTCGAGTTGACTGAGCCAATGCGATGTATTGCTCCAGGACAATGGAGTGCACTGTATGATGGTGAAGTGTGTTTAGGCGCAGCAATGATATACGGTTCAATTAGTCTATGGGAAGAAGGTCAAACCGCTATGTATAAATGGAATCTTAGTGATTATGAGCTGACTTATGCTGGTTAAATTGATTCACTTGATTATTTCGTCTCTTTTTGAATTTTTGTAAATAAATTTTATATCTACTATGTAATTGTTTTTCTGAAGTACAAAATTTATTACTGCAAAAGATTTTGTATTTCCCAATGAATGAATGAAATAATCTGGACGACATTGTTGTGTTTACTGACGTTTCGTTATTTAATGCTGCTGCTAATAGCTTTATCAGAGCAGTAATATTGAACCAGAACTTACAAAATCCACTCAGCTTATATATAACAACTTAATCATCGTTCCTCAGCATGGGGTCATTTTGGTGTTGTCAAACTGGTCAACTGGTAAAGATAACAAAACCAGGTGTAGATTGTTGGATTTGATAAGTGTATAAAATTCTAGAAGCACCGTGTGTTTACATAATGAAATTACTTACCAATCACATTCGTGTTGATTTGATCATTTCATTGGGGAGGGGTATGTTGTAACCAAGCCGAATTCTGTTTTAGTCCATCATTCCTATTCAGATAATTTGGATTCGATTTGATATGAAGTGCTTCCGATGATGTTAGACGTTCTTTGTGATTTCTGAAATGCTTTTTCTGGATGATGATTTCAATATTGTCAAAATCAATTTTGTGACCTGATCCTATAGTGTGTAGACCCATGGCTGACTGATGATTTTTCAAGCTTCTCTAGTTCAACTGGATTTCTTGGTGGTCGAAAAGATGCGCGGCTCTACGGTGTTCATTCCTTCTGATTACCTTGATTTCTCTCCGGCGATGTTTGTCCGATGTATATCGCATCACATTCCCGGCATTTTATTTTGTAAACACAATTAAATTGAATCCTTTGGAATTTGTAATTTTACATTGACGGACGGTTTCTAGTGTGTCGGCTGTTGTGCTTATTCAGTACTCTTCTGATATCAATCGTCCGACGTCTCTGATCTGTATGGAATGACAAATGTTGTGGTTCATGTCTTCAGAATACGTTTTCGACCATATTTAGTGTCAGTATTGATTGTGTTTTCCTTCTCATCCGTTAACATCAGAGATTGTGCTCGTCTAAGTGGACTTGAGACCGCCGATACCTTTGTGCTGATGACGTGTGATGATCCAAAGTCTAAATATTTATTGGAGTGGGTTTTCTTCCTGAATATAGATATACTAAAATGTCCGTTTTTCCTCCTTTTAATTGGACAGTCTAGAAAAGGTAGTTCACCGACGTCTGATTCTGCTACCGAAGGAAACTGGATGCTGGGAGATGGGTTGTTGAGGTTCTCTAAGAATAAATTGTATAAATCTTGTTTTAGCACTACAAAAGTATCATCAACATATCTTAACCATATTTTAGGCGTAGGTATGCGTTAAAAGATGTTACCTTCAAATGTTCTTTGAACTGCCGCACATATGTGCAAAGTTCTATGTCGAAAACAGACAGAGACAGACCTTCAAATGTATTCATGTAAAGATCAGTGACTATTGTGGGAAACTTCTGATTCTAAAGCAACACCATTTGTCTGTTTATATATAAATTCCCCTTAAATGTAAAATAATTACCTTTTAGACAGAATTTTAAACTCTTAATTATTTCACTGGTGTTCAGTGGACATCTTCGTGATAGCGTTGTATCTTATTCTAGTAAACTGGAAATAATATCAAGACTTTCGGTAATAGGGATACTAGTATTTTTTTTATTCCTTCACGTTCTCAGTGGAACATAAGACTACTTCAAGCCTCCAGCTTGAAGTTTCTGTAGCAGTGTTTATTTTTACAGGATGGGGTTGCTAGCCTCATGCCCAACGTTTCCTCTTTACCAGCTTTATTCCTGGCTTAGCGAGGTAAAGGAGTGCATCGGCCGTGATTCGAACCCCGGACCATATGCATGGTCGGCGAGCGTCCTTACCACTGTGCTACCGACGCACAAAGCCCACAACGTCAGGAGCAGGGTTAACCTACCGTAATGTCATCTTTAACAAATTCCTGGTGTTCTGTTTCGATTCATAGTTGACTTGTGTTTATCCTGAATTCGGCCACTTCTCAATGAATTTTTCCATTGATGAAGACAAAACAGATAGTTCAGCGAATGCATATTTTCCAGCTGTACAATCGCATTTATATACAATCTCTTTTTCATGTAAGAAGGTAGTACATGGAGGAAAGGAAGAATATACTCTCAGCCAAAAGTAAATTTTCTCAACCGCCCAATGAAAGATTTATTGCAAAATCTATGAATCCTAGAACACAAAAGCCGCCCATGCTTAGCGTCCCGAAAAAACTACTTTACATGAACCTTCAATTCAATGGAGATATATCTGCGGAAACATTAAAAAATCGACTGTCGCGCTCACTTAAGAAAACCTTCTTCGCAGCTGAACTACGACTAACCTTCTCCACAAAACCTATGATTCATGTGAACGTGAAGGATAAGCTACCGCTGCTGGCCTCATCAATGTGTATTTATCCATTCACTTGCTCGTGTGGAGCCAAGTATGTCGGCCGTACTCAGCGCTCGCTTTCAAACGTATCACCGAACACTTACCAACATGGTTTTATAAGGGAGAAAATCGATGCCCCCGCAGTTCCATCTTAGAACTTCTGATAGAATCCGGACACCAAGCTACACCCGAAACAAACTTCAAGGTCGTCTACAGAGTAAGAAGTAGTCTCCCTAAAGGTGTACGAATCAGACTTCTTCGAACTGCAGAAGCAATGGCGATTCACTTGCTAAGTCCTGAACTCTGCATACAGAACAAGTTCGTTCAATCACTACACTTGCAGTGGATGTAATCTATCTTATTACCCGACAAGTAAATTCTACCTAATCTTTTTTTCTCTATCTCTTCATTAGTATTATTTTGTCTTCTCAATTGTAATATTTTAGATTTTCAACTTTCCTGTTCACTACTCCCACCCGATTTAATTTATACACCTCACTATCACTGTTACTGACTTGAACAGCGCTCAATTTCTAGTTATTTATGTTATGTTACGTCATCCAACTTACTTCCTCAATCTTACTTTAGTTGCTCTCCAATTAACCTTGTTTCTATATTAGATCATTCTTGTATCACCTGATTAATTATCTAAACTTGACAAACCTCATGTACACACACACACACAAAAGTAATTATATATAAATGCGATTGTACAGCTATGTGAATGAATTCGCCGTCGAAAAGAGTCTCTTCACTGAACGTCTACTCTTTTTCATATAAAATGTATTCATTTCACATTCTAGCAAGTTATTTATTTATTTTACTATGAAAACATCTTATTTCCCATCTTATTGTATTTTACTGATAGCACTAATATTATTATTTCCAAATGTACTTTACCATCTTACATTGATTTTATCCAATCAAATGTCTAATCATCAATTTTTACTTTTGTATATAAATGAAGCCAGAAGGTTGTCTGAGTGAGTGCCTTGATATGATTATGAGTGGCAATAATTTGTGCTCGAAACGTGATCATCAGTTAATATTACTTACTGTATAACACACTGTGTGATGACTTTATCAAAATAAAATATTATCCATAATGGAGCTTACAGACGTCTTGAAAAAAAAATTGAAAACTTATCAGCTAATTATTAGCTCCGATCTCCAAGATCATATCTATGACCAACAGATCCAATAACACTAAGGATTTATGGTTTACCACCAAAATTTACAAATGGATATTTGATCTTTAATATAGAACCAATAATGCTAGCTGTTAATAAAAGTTTGCAGTGGCCTGTCGGGAATGGTCCTCGAGTCATGCGGGCCAAGCTTCTGCTCCCGAAGGCTTTGACCAGCCCACGACATTTCGTCTCTCCGATTCGAGTGAAGAATAATTTTTGTTTACAGGATTTCATCATGAGCTGACATCGGTTAGAGAAGCATTGGAAAACCTGTGAGTACTGGAAACCTGTCTGGTCAGTCTAGTTTGGGACTCTTCATCAGTATGCACCCACCACAGGGGGCTTCGAACCCAGGAGCTTATGGTTACAAGGCTAGCGAGCTCGTCGACCATTCACTCAGCCACTGACACCCGATCCAATGGCCAGCCAGTCCATGAACCCCAACTTCCGCCAATTCATGCACGACATTGCGCGACCACTAGCAAATATCTTCGGCGAGTATTTGTCCTCACACGAGACATGCTGCACCCTACTACTGGTCACAATTTCCCAATGGAACCCAGGTAACTACCTGAATAGTCCCAGTCGCCAGTGAGCAATCAATCAAATCCCTACTTGAAAAATAATTTTTGTATTTTATACTTTTCTTGCGCATTGAAATTTCTGTGATAGTTTGATTAGTTTTCCAGGATGGCTAGCTCTAAACCAAACCCTCTTTTCTTTTCCTGGGCTTGGCACCGGCTAGAAAACCAGTAAAGTAAGAGAGGTTAAGTGATTCACTTACCTATTATTAGAATTTTAAGAAGTGTCGCATATTCAATGAATTATAATTGGCTCATATTCAGGGAGTCTTAATTGTATACAGATCAATAATTGTTGATATCAAAAGTTAAAGAATCACACATTTTGACTTTATGAAAAATAAAACTGAAAAAAGATTTAACAGTCCTATTGTAATCAACATTGTGTTCGTGTGAAGGAATACAGCATTGCCTAAAAAAAGTATTTAAAGGGATATAAATTGAAGAATGTATATTTCCATTAATTTACCGTGAATGCCTCCATAATATATTCAATACATACTCAGGATTTAAAAGGGTAAAATCTGCATCTTGACGTGTTCCAGCTTATCCGAACCATCGGCAGTAAGAAACGGTATCTGCGAGACAGGTGGCATGGCAACTACCAGTCTGAAAAGACATCTAGGATGCTTGGCAAATCACTTTGAGTAGCAGTTTAGCTGGCCATCAGCGCCAGCATCTATCATCATAGGCTAAAATGCTCCTTGGTTTGTCAATACCGACCCACCAATCGAAGTGAAGGTCGGAAATAAACTTCTAGTGATGAAACGCCATTAGGCATCCGTCACAGACCATCTACCCCTGACTGTTTTTTAAAGATGGTGGTGAGATTCTCGTCAAGGTTTTGACTGGATTGTTCAGGAAAGTATAGAAAATCGGTGCACTTCCAAGACCTAGCCTCTCCGTGCTGACGATGTGAGGCGGCGACTGCGTATTTGATCACAGCTGTTTTCCTGGATGGCATCATCATGCGAGTATTCCAGTGGTCCGGTTTTTGGACACAGTGGAGATCACCATTCGTTGAGTCTCGTTATCTGAAAACACCGGCTTCGGTGGCTTGGACAAGTGCTATGAATGTCATCCCAGGGACTTCCGTACCGGTCTCTGTTCGCTAGCCCTAAGATGGGATGGAAGAAGCGGAGAGGTGTTCCGCCCATGAAGTGGCGTCGTTGGCATCGGTTGGTGGTACATCACGACTCATCATGTGCTACGTATGCTAGTCATCGCCTTCCTCGACAGGCAGTGTTAGCTGATATAGGGCCAGGCTGGAAAAGAGCTAGCGGCGGTCAAACCAAAACATGGCACTAGTCAATGAAATCCACAACAGTTAGTCTAAGCCACGTAGGGAGATGTAGACTTCCTGGTTGGGGTCCTCGGGACGGTAAAAACCAATGGTTGGAAACAATTGGTGACATGGCTCAAAATCGTTCTCAGTGGCGCAGATGCATCCACTCCTTGTGACTTATGATTTCTAATGAAACTGTTTTGTTCTCCGATATTACTATTCCTTTATCTCACATCTCTGTTTACTATCTATATTATGCATTTCTTCTACTTTCTTCTCTTGCTTTGCGTGCTACATAGATTGTGGCGACTTGAACTGCCGCACATATGTGCAAAGTTCTATGTCGAAAACCGACCGACCGACATCACGACTCCCTAGTTGGTGTCCGAGAGTTAATGCGAATCGGTGGCTCGAAACGTTATCGGATATGGTGAAGAATCGTAATCAATGGTGAACGTGCTGCAATCGACTTCTTTCTTCCCTTTCAGACGATAATTAGCGAATGCTGTTTATACTCGTTAAATATGACTGTTTTCCTTCCAGATAATCTACTTTATCTATTCTCAACCTATGATTTTACTTATATTTTATTATTGTGAGGCGAATGTTCTTGGTGCCATATGGTACCAAAGTATTTTTGTGTGTTTAAATAATAATAATAGCGATCTCACCGACTGATTTTCCCTCTGACTTTACCTAGCACTCGACCTATGCCTAACCTGAGGACTACTCACTCTATTATATCACCACTTAACATAGGAGATAGAACGCAGGCTCCTATGATCAAAGACAGCTGCTAGCCAGGCTTTTCATGCCTTCCACTTTCAATGGCTATATCTACAGTTAAAGAGGAATAGTAATTCACCGAAAAACAGACTCTTCACTGTTTTGTTTTTTATCAATAATGTTAGGATGGCAATGATTCATGAATTTAAGAAAAAGTATATGCAATATGTATAGCTAGATGGCAGTAGCTCAGTAGTTTAAGTAGGCCATTCCAGATTTCGATGGAGGATTTCATCATGAGCTGATATCAGTTAGAGAACCATTGGAAAACCAGCTGGAAGTACTGGACAGCTGTTCCCTCCGTCCTAGTTTGACACTCTTCAGCAAGACGCACCCACCGCCAGGGTTCGTACCCAGGTCCTTCTGATCACAAGACTAACGAGCTCGTAAACCATTCATTCGGCCACTGAGACCCGATCCAATGGCCAGCCAGTGCATCAATTCTAACTTCTGCCAATTCATGCACGACCATTTCGCAATCTTCTTCGATGAGTTACTGCCTCATCTCCAACCTGCTGTACCCTACTTACTGGTCACGGCTTCCAACAGAACCCCAGATCACCGCCTGAATCAGCCCAGTTGCTAGTGAGCATCACATTTCTTTTTTGTAAAAACAGTTTCACTCCAAAGAAATTATATTTTATTAATTAGTTAGTAACCAAAGAAAATATGAATGACAAAACTTTTCTAAACTAAATAATGAACAATAACTGAGAAGAAGAAGAAGGGAAAGAAGAAGATGAAGCATAAAAAAGAATAAAAGAACAATGAAGAAATCAATTTTACTGTGCAGTTTCGCTAATTACTGTAACAACACACTGTGCAAAATGCTCTCAATTCAGTATGACATACATACTACTGATATACATTCATTTAAAGTAGTATACAACAGCTTTTCGAAAATGATGTACATGCAAGAATAGTAAGGCAATAAGAGTCAAAGACAGGCAGGCAGATGGATAGGTGGTAGATAGATAGTAAGTAATGCGAATCTGATATCATATAGACTGATTATGCAATAACTGTATATAATCCAATCTGGGGGTGAAGGGTGTGGTGTGAGGTGGAGGGGGGTTGATCACATCATTGTGTGGTGAGAAGAAGACTGTCGGTGTTTAAACTACCCGTATGGCAGGGGAGTCACAGGATTAGGAGACTTCATCCTTCAATATTCTGATATATTCATGTTTACTAGAGACACTGTGTGTGTGTGTGTGTGCAGAGTGTGATAGTAGAGTAATATATGATAAACTGTCAGATATATTAGTAAAAATCGATATGAACTACAATTGTGAAATTTTAGGCATTTGAAGACGGCTGCTTCATCGATAAAAGACACAATATTAGTTGCTTCTACACAAGTAACACTATTTTAAAATAACATGTGTAGAAATGTTTCAAAAAAACGAGACTGCAGAAAAGGCTGGAAGTAAAAGTGATTGAATGTTTGTCTTCTTGTTCTGAACTGGCAGGCAGGCACACACACCACATTAACTTGTTCCAATATTTACAAATTTCTCCTTTAAACTTTCAAAAATTGCAATCATTATGGCAGAAGCACTAGTTGTTTTAATCAATCTGGGTGTAAAACCTATTTTTTTAAAGAAAAAACAGCAAATGAAAAAGAGAAAAGATGAAATTAACTATCTGTGATAAAAAACTGCTTTTCAGTAATATTAACTGCTGACCACTTTTCGAGCACAAACTATTGCTGCTCATAATCATATCAAGGTACTACTTACACAACTTTTTTCCTTCATTTATGTACATGTATGGAATCGATTAGATTTTGGAATAAAAATCAATAAAAGATGATGAAGTACATTCAGAAATAATAATATGAGTGTTATCGATCAAGTACAATCAGATAGGAAATGGGACGAGTGTTTTTTATAGCTAAAATAAGTAACTTGTTAGAATGTTGTGATGTGCTTGAAATGAAATAGAATTTAGAGATTATTTATTATCCTCCTCTGATTTCACTGACTGGTGGTAATAATGTCTTCCATATTTCTGGTATTTGTATTGAGTCATTTCTGTTTCATGCGCTGTGTTGGGTGTAGACTCAATGAACCAGGCAGGATTTAGTAATCAATCTCTCTTTCTATCTCCACCTACATATATTACTTCTTAGAAACTTAACCCTCTCCCACCCTATGGTGTGGTTGTGTGTTAATGCATGTAGTGCAACTGCTGAGCTTTTTTCTAAATTACTTATCTTTTCGAGGTCAACCATTCTCACCTTAGCTAAATTCTTATGTTCCGACAATCTGATCACTCACGATCTAGTAGTTTGACCTATATAGTTGACCTCACAGTCATTGCAAGGTATTTTGTAAATTATATTATTTTGTTTAATTGGGTCCACAGGGTCTAGTCAATTCCACACATGTATATAAATGAATTGAAAAAGTTGTGTGAGTAACTTGATAAGATTATGAGCAATAGTTTGTGCTCGAAAGGTGTTCATCAGTTAATATTGCTGTATAACAACACTGTTTGATTAATCAAAATAAAATCTTATCCATAATGGAGTTATACTCTACCACCACAGTGCCCAAGTTTTATACTTACATCAAAAAACTTTTTTATTTTTGCTTCGAATTGGTTCACTGATTGATTGACACTACTTAAAGTCAAGAAGATATTTGAGCCTTTCATAGAATACTTTGCGCCGGTGGCACAGCGGTAGAGTGCTCGCCGACCATCTATGTGGTTCGGGTTTCGATCCCTGGCCACCGACTCACTCCTTTACCTCGCTAAGCCAGTAGTAAGATTGGTAAATTGGAAAGGTTGGGCATGAGGCTAGCAGCCCCATCCTGTAAAAATAATCACCACTGCTACAGAAACTTCAAGCCTCTAGGTTGAAGTAGCCGTATGTTCCACTGGGAACGTCAAGGAATAAAAAAATGGAATAGTTGGTGGTGGTAACTAATGTCGTGAGTCTAATCCTTTGTTTGATGCAGATAAAATTCTATCAGTCAAGTCTGCAATATGGCCACCATTATTCAAGGTGGCGTGCCGTTACGGTGGGCATTGCGAATAGTTGTTACTAGACGGCTGGAAAACATTCACAAGAAGTCTTCGACCGAGGTTTCGTGCTTATTGGCATTCATTGTCAACAAGGTGTACACCTACAGTCTTGAAGCAATTCACATCCTTGTTGTGATTCATATGCGGGTCATAAGTTGTTCCAGTTAGAGATGTTATCACTGAACTATTCGGAGTCCCAAGTGAGCTTCTTTAGGACTGTAAAAGTTCCAGTCATGTCCAACTGCAACGTTCACATTGACGATTGCGAAGTAACGTTTCCATTCATTGTTGTGCCTTAATTACGTCACTTCGAGGGTGACATGGAGGAGATCGTGTGGCGAGGAGGAGATGACAGATTATGGGCAATCGTGGACTCAGCTAGAGAGGACTGCAGAAAAGACATAGTGGAGATGTGTTGCTGAATCTCTCTGTTCCACCCGGAAACCAAGAGCACAATAATAATAATAATCACTTAGCATTGGAGGTTTCTTCTTTATCACATGTCTCACGCTGTTACTAATATTCACCCACCAGAACAGCTTGTCCGTTAAACCTGTTGTCTAACTAACCTATTCATATAAAAGCGCTCTGGGGGTTCAGGTTGCCACATTTCAAAATGTACACACAAAAAATCGGGGAGAAATGGAGTAGAACTACAGAGAATAAATGTATACCCATTGCGGAATTAATCCAGTTAGAATCAATGAACATTTTCGGAATCTATTCAATACACCATATCTGCACGCCACTGTAAACGATTTTGACAATAATCGTGAAATGGTGCCATATTTTCGTCTGATGACCCTTTTTGCAACCTAATGTGCTTATTTCCGCTAACGTTTGTATGTCTAACAGAAGTATAGATACTAACTTTCCATGTTCACGCATCATTTTGTTGCACTGAATATGAGTCATTGACGGAGGACAGGCATGAGGATAACTTGATAATTTTCTCATTTCTCTCGCCTTCAGTATGTGTTTCATAATGGCGTGTAGATTGATAGGAATCAGACAGGAATTAAAATCAACATTTTAAATCGATGCCTGCATTAGGGAGAAATGTTTATTCCTTAAAATTTGGATTTGGTTCTCGTTGTGGTCAAGAAATAACCTTATTGGATAAGTTTTCAGCCAATCAGAACAGTTTATTCTCCACTGACCTAACCGGTTGACTTTTAATGCGGTAAAAAAATGATACCTTTTACTTTAATAAGATGTAAGTCCGTTATCACTTTTCTTATCTTCTGGTGTTTTACAAAATGTACATCATCAGTGCTCACAAAGTAGCGTGCTACATGTCGAAAAAGAAGAAAAATCTGTTCCCGGTTTTAACATCAGTACAGATGCAGAGGCGATTGATATATGCTGAGAAATATACGCCAAGCAGTCAGTCACATTAGGGGAGTAGGAAATTTTAAAAAAGATGTGAGTAAATTTTTCAACAAAATAAAACGAAAAAAGTGACAGTTTGTTTTCTTACCAGAGAACAAGGCAGGAAGACCGTTTCTTCTGTACAAATTAAGTAATGATGCCCATGTTGATGTTGGATAAGAATGACCTATATTCATAGAAAACCAGAAGAAAAAAAGGTTAGTAGTAGATATGATGTATTAACAACTTGTGTAAATACTGACAAACGATCCATTGCATCGGGATCGATAATGAGCTGACACCAGTTAGTTAGAGAACCATTATTGGAAAACCACCACCAAGGAGCACTTGATAACCAGTTGTTTCATACCAGTGCTTGGGACTCTTCAGCAATACGCAGCCACAACCTCCAGGGTTAGAACCCAAGGTCTCTAAGGTTACAAGGCAAGCTCGTAGTGTCGATTATGTTACTGGGATCCCGAATGAATTCCCACTTCTGTCAATTCGTGATATATATCTATTTAGTGAGAAGTCATAACTAGCGGGGTCCACGAAGTCAAACAAGAGGACATTCAGTCACCTGTGACATTGGCTGGAGGTTGAGCAGAAGTTAGATTCATGCACCGGCTATTGGATCGAGTCGCAGTGGATGAATAGTCACTACGACCTCGCCTAGTAATCGGAAGGCCTTGGGTTCAAACCCCGGGGGGGGAAGGGTACATACTGCTGAACAGTCCTAAGCACTAGAAAGAAATAGCTGTTCAGTATTCCCCAGTGGTTTTCTAACTGATGTTAGCCCGTGACCAATCAAATCCCTGCAAACCAATACTTGATGATCCGCCGATGACGCCTCTACCTAGAAGTGTAGAAAAACTGGAAAATTATGTCTAAGTGTGTTGACTTTATAGAATATTCGATTGAGATTATCGTAGATTTCATCATGAACTAATATTAATTAGAGAATTATTGAAAACCAAGGAGCATTAGACGGTTGGAACTTTTCACAGTAGAATGTACTCATTACAACCTGATCAAAGATCAAAATCAGAACTTCAAAAGGTTACCAGCAGTTGAGCACATTAACCGTATTCAGTCACACTGAGCAGAAATGATCCAATGATTCAATACTCTCTTAGTTTATATATATATATATATATATATAAACGAATTAATACCGCATTGATCGCAATTCAGTGGTCAGAATCGTCCTATACCAGTTGAGATTAATAGACAATGATTGTAGCATTGTCACGTTTTAGCCCGAATTCGCTTAGTCATCACTTACTTTCTTCGTGATTGTGCTTTTGTGACAGGTAAAAACTGATTGAATTAATTTAGATAACTCATTTCAGTGAAAAGCTTCACCAAATGGACTTTTTGTCTTCTTGACTAGGTAAAGGAACAATAGAAGTTGATAACACTACCTACTCTTTTCATATCTGCCAAAAAACGCAAGCAACGTTAGTTACGAAGACAATTAATGTCTGTCTTTTTTTATACCTTACAACCATAGAGTAGGATAGGAAAAAGTCTGACCGACTGACTGAGTTTCAACCTAGAACTACTTTGCACAAAATTGCAGCAATTCAAGTCCACACTTTAAGTACCATACAAAGGTAGGGGGAAAAGAGATTTAAAAGGAGGGAGTGTATCTGCACCATTGAGAAGGATTTTGAGCCTTTATCACCAACTGTCTTCAAACTCTGGTGGTGGTTAGCCTCCTCTTGGCGGAAACCTCACTCAGGCAATCAATACTTCCCTAGGTGGCTGCCACAAACCAACTGACAAAGACTTCTTGGACTAATTTCAGATTTTAGTTTTATTTTATTATTATGGTTCTTCCCTTGGTTCCCAGGTGGAACATAGGGTTTCAACAACACATATCTAATTTGGTTACAGGATTTCATCATGAGTTGACATTGGTTAGAGAACCACTGGAAAACCTGGGAGTACTGGACAGCTGTTTCGCCCTAAATTGGGACTCTTCCGAAGTACGCATCCACCGTGGTTCGAACCCAGGACCTTTTAGTTACAAGGCGAGCTCGTAGACCATTAAGCCACCGGGTTCGAACCCCGGTGGATGGGTACTGATGAAGAGTCTCAAACTAAGGCGAAACGACTGTCCGGTACTCCCAGGTTTTCCAATGGTTTTCTAACCGATGTCAGCTCATGATGAAATCCTGTAACCAATCATTCAAATCCCTACAAACCAATACTTGAACATCTCTAATTTGTTCTATTTCCTGCTATCCGCTCTAGTTGAGCCCACGATTACCCACACTCTCTCATCTCCTCCATGTCACTCTAGGACCGACAATCCACTCGTCGTTTCCCGTTTGGGTTACACTCGACCAATGACCTGCATTACGTGCGATGTCATTCGATGGTCTCTTTAGCGTATGGGTTAGTCCATCTCCATGTCCCCAACATAATTGTTGAACGATAGGTTCTTGGTTGGTTTGTTCCCATAGCTTCTTATTGCCAATTCTTTCTAACTGACCATTTCATCTTCAATATGGAGCCAGTGAAGGCAGCCTTTGATAAAAATCTGTAACTTGTTGGAAATGCTTTTCGTAATGCGCCAGGTTTCCAACTCATATTGAAGAAGTGACTGACTACTTAACATTGATATTGGCGATCCAAATCTTGTTTCTTTATGCTAACTAGATGCAGAAGATCTCCAAACTGATTTCGGACTGATGAAGGTGTATCTTGCCTTTCTGATTCTAACTATGGTTTGATCACTCAAAACTCATTTTTAATCCAACCCTATGTCATCGAACATTTCTCATCACGGAAGACGGTGGTGTCTCGGCATGTGTAATACTTGTCCTAAACATTCCAATCGATATAGCTTCATAACCTGACATCGATTGACTACCCTTCCTTACCTAGGACTTCAAGTCTAATTTCAACAATTATCACCAATATTATACTACTTAATGCGGGATATCTGAATGCAAACATAGGAGATCAAAGACGGCAAAGTGATTAACAGGTTCAACTGACAGTCGGTTCAAATCAGTCCTGTAGCATCATCTCACAATATCAGACAAGAGAGAATCGTATGTGTCAAAAATTCGAACATTTCTCTCTGTTAAAAGTGTGTTCAAAAGACTCTAACATTAAGAACACACTACTCACTACACTCAAGGGGTTGTTAGTGTGAATTCGATTGCCTGGAATATATTTCTCTTATGCACCAAGAGATATAACGTGCGAGGGCTGATAATACTGTAACGACAGAATACAAGCGCCAGGAAACAGATCGTTTATTGAGAAAATCAACAGATATTTATAGATTTTTATGTACATTATTGTGAGCGGAGAAGCAACCTCTTTTGATTGGTTGTTTTCTTGCTGAAGGCTATTCTGTACTCCTTGTGACTGCTTCTCAGAAAGTTAAGCCATATATCTGCGAATCGTATTTGCACAAGTTAAATCTGCTGTGACTGGTTGGTGAGTTCCTCAAGGCTAAGCTTTGTTATTGTTTTTCTCATGACCCTGAGTCGGGATGTAAACATTGAGGTAAATTGATGTCTGCAATTTTTGGCTTGCAGACAGCTCTCACCACAATAGCACCTACCTAAAGCATCTACGCTAAATCAGGTGGAGCGAAAGTCACACACAGTGGGTGTCTATCAACTAAAAGTCAAATGAATACTCCAATACGCAGCATCCTACATCTAACTGGTGCACAGGATGTAAGGCTAACTGACATTTTATATATGTATATACCAACCAGTAAGATTTAACCTCTTTGGTTAATTCTGTCATCAATATTACTAATGTTATTCAATATAAAAAACTGATTGAATCAATTACGAAGTGGATTATTGATAAAAATAATAATATGCGTTTGTGCGTAGGTGGCACAGCGGTAGAAAGCTCGCGGATCACACAGGTGGTCCGGGGTTCGACCCCCGGCCACCGACGCACTCCTTTTGCTTGCTAAGCCAGTAATAAGACTGGTAAGGAGGGAAGGTTGGTAGGGCATGAGGCCAGCAACCCTATCCCGTAAAAAGTAAACATACGACTGCTACAGAAACTTCAAGCTGGAAGCTTGAAGTAGCCCTATGTTCCAGCAGTGGGAACATATAGGAATAAAAAAAATATGCGTTTATGTGAGAATGAAACTAACTTACTACATGCTAGTGAATGATTACCAAAATCAACTTGTCTGTGCGTTTTAATCACATCGAAAGGATGCGTTATTACTCCAGAAATCTATAAAATTCAAAAAAATTAAATTAAATTAAAAGTACAATAAGAATTATTAATTTTTATGTTGCTTTTTTTATTAAGAATAGAACTTGGGTACTGTGGTGGTAGAGAATAACTCCATTATGGATAAGATTTTTTATTTTGATAAATCACACACAGTGTGTTATACAGTAATATTATCTCATGACCACGTTTCGAACACAATTTATTATTGTCACTCATAATCATATCAAGGCACTCGCACTCACACAACTTCCTTCCTTCATTTATACACAAAAGTAAAAATTGATGATCAGACAGCTGAATAAAATCAATATAAGATAAAGTACATTCAGAAATAATAATATGAGTGTTATCGATCAATTACAATCAGATGGGAAATAAGACGAGTGTTTTTATAGTCAAAATTAGTAACTTGTTAGAATGTTGTGATGTACGTGAATTGAAATGGAATTTTGAGATTATTTTTTATCCACCTTTGATACGACTGACTGGTGGTAATAATATCTTCCATATCTCTGGTTTTCGCGTTGAGTCATTTCTGTTATATGTGTTGTGTTGGGTGTAGACTCAATGAACCAGGCAGGATTCAGTAATCAATCTCTTTTTCCATCTCCACCTACATAGATTACTTCTTAGAATCTTAACCCTCTCCCACCCTATTATGTGGTTGTGTGTTAATGCATGTAGTGCAATTGCTGAGTTCTTCCTAAATAATTTATCAATTCACCTCATAACATTCTAACAAGTTATTTATTTATTTATTTTGACTATAGAAACACTCGTCTTATTTCCTATCTGATTGTGTTTGATTGATAACACTCATATTATTATTATTCCTGAATGTACTTTATCTTATATTGATGTTTATTCAATCAAATGTCTAATCATCAACCCAGATCACAATCAGAAACGGTATGACTTATTAACTAACAAACAAATTCAAGTGGTGATTAAACTGAGTTAAAATACTCAAGTATTTACGTAAAATGCGATGGTAGTACATAGGTGCGTATAAATCACCGTCAGTGGAGATGAATAGCAACCGGGGATCATCAGACGTTTAAACGACTACTTACAGACTGTTTTTCCCATTACGTTCTGAGTGGAGCACAGGACTTCAAGCTAGAATTTTGAATTCCCCGTAGCAGTGGTTTTATTTCTACGGGGTGGAGTAGCTAGCCTCATGTCTAACCTTCCCTCTTTATAGCGCTTACTACCGACTTAGCGAGGTTTGATGGTTGAAGAGCATTCTACCGATGAACCACCGACGTACTACTTACAGACTACATCTCCAGTGTACACCCGAGGTTACAGGACGAGCGCAGCAACCAGTCGTGTGACTGACTGATTGACTTTCAACACAGAAGTACAGTAGTTCAAGTTGCCACACTCCATGTAGCACATAAAGGCTCAGACAAAAGAACATCTAAACAAGCACTCAAGTTTTGATTTCAGGGAGTTGTCATCACGAGCTGACATCAATTAGGGAACCATTGAGAAACCTGGGAATACTGGACAGCCGTTTCATTCTGGTTTGTCACCCTTCAGCAACACGCACTAACCGGGGTTCGAATCCAAGACCTTCTGGTTACAAGGTGAGCTCTAGGGTCATTGAGTTGCATCCCAGTGGCTTAATGGTCTACGAGCTAGCTCGCCTTGTAACCTGGGCTCGAACCTTGGTGTTGGTTGCATACTGATGAAAAGTCCCAAGCACTAGGACGGAACAGCTGCCCAGTACTCCCTGGTAGTTATGATGAAATCCTGTAATCAAAACAAGTATAATGAACAGAACTGTACGCGAGAAAGAATAGTAACGTGGAAAAAAACATGACTGTTTAATGGATTTAGGAGATCACAGAGAGCGAATGCATCTGCACTAACGAGAACGATTTTGAGCCATATCATCAAGAGTCTCATACCAGGCGGCAATCTACACCTCCGCAAGTGATCGGCTCAAACCAACTGTCAAGGATTTCATGGATAGGTGATATGTTTCTATTTGACCACTCCAAACACGTTTCCGACCTAATCCTATGTCAGTTAATATCGCACAACGAGGAGGATGGTGTCTAAGTGTGCGCAACACACATACATCCCAGACATCTCAATCTATGCAGCTCCGCAACCTTATTGATTGTCTTCCATTGCCTAACGAAAGCAAGACACGTAGTTCAACGAAGAGGCTCTTTTAAGTCAATCCATTCTTCCCTCTTAGCTGTACAACCTGCATTTATGTACAATTTTGTTTCATGAAAGAGGTTACTAATAAAAGTGATGAGTTGTCAACAAACATACTTGTTAATGTTAGTCAGTGCATAAAAGGACCTGAAGAAGTGTATTAGACTTATTTAATAAGATAAGTAATTTAATGAGTTGATCATGGACTGATATCAGTTAGAGAACCATTGAAAACCAGGGAGTACTGGACAGCTGCTGTTTCATCCTAGTTTGGGAATCATCGGAAGTACGCACTCACTGGGATTCGAACCCAGGACCTTCCGGTTACAAAGCAAGCTAGCTCGTATACCATTCAGCCACTGGGACCCGATTCAATGGCTCATTAGATGTCACGTGTGTGGATGGATGTTCCACCAACAACAATGGTTGGGGTCGCGCTAAATCACGAATTGGTAGAAGTTAGAATTCATGCATAACTCTGCTTTTTTCACTTGAATGGCTGAAGCGTCAGCAATGCACACAGAAGACAAAAGTGAACTGTCTTTGGCAGGTTATTCTTCACTTTGTAGATTAATTTGAAGGGGGAGGTGTTTGTTGAGACTGTGCCTCGGTGGCACAGCGGTAGAATGCTCACCAACTACGAATGTGGTTCGCGGTTCGATCTCCAGCCGATGCATTCATTCTCTTACCTCGCTAGGCTAGTAATAAGACTGCTAAAGAGGAAAGGTTGGGCGTGAGGCTAGCAACCCCACCTTGTAAAGGGAAGCACCACTGCTACCGGGAATTCACAAATCTAGCTTGAAGCCCTATGTGTTCCTCTGGGAACGTAAAGGAATAAAGTGTAAAAATATAATATAAAAAGTTGTTGAGATTGAATGACTAGTGTTGACATGGTGTACGGTTAATGCACTCTTCATAGAGCCATTACTACTTTCCTGCAGACATGCGAAATAGTGTTCCTGAACCCTTTTCGACAGGATATGTGTGTGAACGACCAATGTACGTGGCTAGTTCCACAGCAACAGGTAAACTGATATATGCACATTGGAGTGGTCAGATGCTATAGCTTGTCCTTAAGACGACTGGAGAACACCACCCTTAGCGTTGGTGCAAAGAATACTCTTCTCAAGGATGATACAATTCTTCTCTTATGAATATGGCATGTTTTCTTCCTTGAAATCCAGGTTCATATGAAGTTTTCATTTCCCATAGGTATCCATTTTGGAAGAAGGTTTCATTCAGATCTAGTCGCCTTTCTAGAGCGTCAGTACTACAGTTGCATCGGATCTGAGTGGATACTTGTTAGTTGACCGTTCCAAGTAAGTTTTCTATGGACTGACCTTCTTAAGGTTCCATTGGGTTGTCTTTTTAGTTCCACATCAAGGAATTTCATTGCCGGATGGCAGTTGTTTAATACTTGTAGAAAGCCATGCATGAAACAGCCTGTTAGTAGTGGATCCACGGCAGACCCGATTACAATACCATCATTTTGCTTGTAGATGGTGTCATTGGAAATGAATTGTACATTGAGAGTAAATTCTCTTGCTTACACAACATTTAACACCTCAGCCTCAATCTTGACTCATCAATATGATACCCACTTAACAATAATTCGCTTATTTACCTATCATATTACACACATATCAAGTTTTGAAAACAAAGAATATAGAATCGATAAATGCATAAACTTACCAAGCCAGCCATTGCTCCAAAACTCAGTGCATATGTGAATTGTACTGCGTCGAGTGTATTTGATGATGTATTGTGTGGTAATAAATTAAGCCTTGATTGATTATTGATATGATGCGATTTCATATAGTCATAGGTTAACCAAAATATCATAGAATACGGGACATCACGTAGAAGGGTTGGCCCAGTGCCTAACCACAAACTCTTTATACCATCCTTATTGAATAAAAAAGTGAAAACATTAGCTAGAAAGTACATGTCAAGCATACATATATTAAAGAGACGCAGGAGATAGGCTTTATCAAATTAAATTACCGCTTGTCAATTTGAATAAAGCAAGACAGATGAAGTCACAGAGAGAAGTCGTGACCAGAGATGTCCACTAAGTCAGGTATGTGAGGAGTTACTCCCCGATCACGTTGCCAAGGCAGAAGCTGGAATTTACGGGTGATGGTTTCTCACTGAACGTTAATCTGCCATCTCTTTGTGGCTATTTATTGAAGTTCAGATTATCTATCTGCAAATTGCATCTGCCTACGCAAAGTCTGCTGTGATTGGTTGTTGAATTAGTCTTTGTTCTTCTTTTTCTTATGACCAATATTGGGGATGTAAACATTGACGTCAATTACTGTCTGCCAACTTTGGCTAGCAGCCAGCTCTCACCACACTCGTCCCCCCGTCAAAGACTTGCGACTGAAGTTGGTTCGGTCTTCTTGGTTCTTGAGGCTTTGCTCTTTTGTCTTGCTGTCTGGAATCTCGGCGCTTGCGGATGTTGGCCTGTTTCTTTTTGTTTACCATTGCGATTGTGTCTGCGTAACCCCATCTCAAAGTGACCATAGCTGGTTCTTCCCACTTTGCAAACTGTTTGCCTGACCCTGTTGCGCATTCATTCATCGGTATTTCGCCTCACACTTTCATATGCTACTTTCTCCTGACCTCCTAGCAGTGTCCCAAGTAACAGCCTCATCGCTGACAGATCTTGAACGCCACTCAACTGCGCAGAAGCCTAGAAGTCCTGCCCAAAGATCCATATGTCTCCATCAAAACCTACAGGGCATGGGCTTTCCATTTGTCGGTAGGCAGCGACACTAAATGTAACAACAGAAGACAAGGGCCAGACAACAGATCGTTTATTTAGGAAATCAACACATATTTATGGCTTTTCATGTACATTATTATAGATTATTGTAAGCAAACAAACACAATCTTCTGATTGGTGGTTTCTCGCTGAACGTTAATCTGTCATCTCTTTGTGGCCGTTTTCTTGAAGGCCATACTATATATCTGCGAATCGTATCCGCCTACGCAAAGTCTGCTGTTATTGGTTATTGAGTTAGTCTTTGTTCTTGTTTTTTTCTCATGACCAAGATTTGGGACGTAAACATTAACGTAAATTGCTGTCTACCAATTTTGGCTAGCAGACAGCTCTCACCACAACCTTGTAACAGGGAGATCCTGCGTTCAAAACCCGGCGAGTGAGAACTTCTGAAGTGTCCAACGCCAGGACAAAACAGAATTCCCTTACTTCTAAGTTTTCCAATAGTTCTCTCTAACTCAGGTTATGTTATGGTCAAACAATCAACTAATCAAATCCTGAAAACCAACAAGTGAAACAAAAACTCAGTCGTGCAGAGACCGTTGACACTTCAAAAGCATAGCGACTACAAGCATGTTTATATTTTCAGCAGGAGGTCACACCTAATTCTTGCCCAAGCTGCATTCTCCATACAGAAATTTACTTATATCGATCAAGGAAACTAGAACGAATGGCCACATATTTGCGTGGTATTATCTATTCTAGAAAATGTGACTTGCTACGGCGGTAGACTGTCCTTAGACATCCAGTAGGAGGATGTGTGCTGAGTTCGAGTCTCAGTCGAAAAACCGTCACTCAGTCAGAGATATATCCAGCTGACGAGTTCCACACAAGAGGTTGTGCATTCTTCTGTTAGTCACTGTTAACCAAATATCCTTCACTAGTATAGACATATTCTGTCACACATCTTTCTGTAAAAGACTTCAACCTTCCTGTATTACTTCATACAATTAGTTCCCTTGAGATATTTGAATAACCCAATTAGAAACACTTTTCTGGGGTAGAATAAATTCAGACAATTAGTCCCCTTTGATAAATTTGAATAAGGCATTTAGAAGACAAGGCATACAAACAAATCGATGGTGTTACCATGGGGAGCCCTCTTGGACCCCTGTTAGCGGATATTTTCATGTCGAAATTGGAGAGACAAATGCAAGGTATGCTTGGCGAATTTATGCTGTATAAAGGTTATGTAGATGATACACTCATTATTGGTAATAATAGTAAATCTATTGAAAACTTTATTACTCTATTTATTCATATTCATCTGAATATCCGAGTGACTTCCGAACGCGAATCGAATAACAAAGTCGGTTTCCTCGATGTTACAATGACCAGGAGAGATGATGATGGAACGATTCAGCGATCTATTTTTCGTAAACAGATATGGATTGGACAATATCTTCATTTTACCAGTTTTGTTCCTATCCAGTATAAACGTTCCCTAGTGAAATGTTTGTTCGCAAGCGCCCGAAAAATATGCACGAGTGACACAGTGATGGATGAGTTTCGACATATACATTCAGTTTTATTAGCTAATGGTTATCCGGAAAACTTTATCACTTGTCACAGTGAAGAAAGACCACATCTCTAAAAGACAGCTTCTGTATCGAAGAAAGCTATGTTTATTAACCTACCATTCAAGGGTGACCAGATTATGCAGTTGACAGCTCAAAGACTCCGGTCAGCCATCAAACGCACATTGTACGCCGCCACATCTCTTTTTTCTCACTTGCCGAACATTTTCGATCCCTGTACCTACGATTAAAGGACGAAATTCTGTGGACTCTATTTCAAACTGTATCTACAAGTTCACCTGCACCTGTGGTGACACCTATAATAGGTAGAACCAACAGAATGCTCCAATGTCGTCGAAAAGAACATGTTCCAAAATGATTACTAAATCACATAGAAAATCCCAATGCCAGTAATCTGAATAGAAATCCAGCATCATCCATTGCAAAGCACTTATTAATGTCAGGTCACAAAATCAATATTAATGACTGTTTCACACAATTATTTCACCACATAACTCTAATTCAAGGTTGATTATTGAAGGTGATGGAAGCACGTTGGATTAATCACATACAGCCTAAACTGTGTGTACAAAAACAGCACAATAGACTTCAATCTTCGCCTACCCTGGACTACTTGACCTATCTAAATATGATTGGTCATTAGTATGTACCTTTTGTGTTTTTTATTTAACTGTGTTATTGTTATGAACTTTATTTTATTTTATTACTGTTAACCATGTTAGTTGTTAAGCGGTTGCAAAGAAACTAGGAAATGACGATATCATATCGCGGTGACATTTGCCTTCTAAATGCCTTATTCAAATATGATAAATTCATTTGAATAATATGTCAAAAATGCAGACAACGTATATTGTATACGGGAGATTACAATAATCAATTATAATCAAAATAAAAACATTCTCTATTGTACACAGAAGAATGTTCTGCAATTTAAGGGTAATTCACTCACTACCGGAGATGCGACTACACAGTCACTGACTAATCGAAACTCTAATCAATAAATTATCTTCCCATCTATCCAATCATTCCTACACTGCGAGTAGGATTGATTCTATTCTCAAGTCAGTTACAGAATTCAATCATCATGTAGATGCTGGAATTACTCTTGATTCATGACTTGCAAGACTTGAAGATCTGTTCGAAGTAGAATTGGTCAAACTAGACAGTTCAGAGAAAGTTCAAGTTCTCCTTCGTAAACCTGAATCTAGCGAAAATGTCCCCGTGATATTGACTTTGATGAAACGATCCAAATTCTTCGTAAAATGTTTCGTGGGAACATGCATCATCATTCAATATCCTCTGTAAATGTATGATATCTGTCCAAAGGAAAATCTGATGATTTCCTTACTTTTGCTGATAAACTTAACCGTGAACCATGTGAGCATTTCACAGTTGGGATCACTCATTCAGGACCGTTTCAAATGCATAATTTCTACTTGTGGTTTATGTTCTCCTGATGATTCAGAAATCAGAACACGCATCTCATCTTGTATTGAGCAGAATCCTACAATGACTCATCGAGAAGTGGCATCTAGGTGTCAAAGACTGGTGAACTTAGAGAACGAAGCGAAAATGATTGACAATAATAATCCTCCTGTGGGTGACGCCATACACGTAACCATAGCTATCATCTGGCCGTAATTTTCCCATATCTCAAATCTCTGAGGCAGTTGGTTTCGAGGTGACTGGAAATACCTTCACATGTATTGGCTCATACAACAAACGTAAGTGTAACGAATGCTACAAATTTTAGTCACAAAGGAGGATTTTGAAAGCCTGGCTTTCGTGGTCGGTTCACATTTAAATCCTTCCAGTCATCACAGATCGATGTCTATTCCCAGAAAGAAGATCAAGGTGGTTTTCAATGTTTCTGCTGTGCAAATATTGAACTAAGGGAAATACATAGAAGTTTTCGTGAATGATTGCCCAGTTCGTCTTCAGATTGACACTGATTCACATATCACTTTGATCTCTCGGAAAACTTGTCATCCAATTGGATGTTCACCAGTTACCGCTGCCTGTCATGCTTTCGGAGATATTTAAAATAAGTTGGTCAAATCTCTTACGACCTTTAATTCATGTCAAAGGATTTTAAAGGTTTATTTTATCTTATCAATCGTCACGATTTGGATCCTTCCATTGGGCACTGATTCGATTGATAAACTGTCTTTCAGGCAAATACCTTTAAATTCAGATTGCTCACAAGGATACACTGATCTCCGAAAATACCTGGTGTCGGAAATGTAGATCAACCTGATCAGTGTTCTGAGCCATAAACATAAATCAATATTTAGTGAGACTCCGCGTTGTCACCCACTTCAGAATGCCAAATACGCCATCGACATGATGCTGTCTCGTTTCAAAAACGAAAGACCACTTCACTATGCATCTCTTGAATCAGTCAGTCGGTTGGTCGACTATCAGACCGATTAGAAGAATTAGGCGCTCTGAAATTCTCTACATGAGCATCACCAATTGTTGTAGGTGAAGAAAAGGTACGTGGAGTAGTATGCATCTGCGCAGTTTCCCCTACTGCTTTGAACTGTACTTTTGAAGACCATTCCTACCTACCACTGCCAATACGAGAACAAATGATGTTTTCGCCAAACTCAGTGGTGGATAATATTTTGCGAAGCGGAAGAAAGAAAGGTGACACAAACTCTGGTTGATAATAATTAACCAGACAAGTTCATCAGGAGATATACAGTAGTAATAAGAACACCAAGACCCACTCTACAACTCGACCCTAAGAAAGACGTGTACATCAAGCTACCTTATATGTGGCATCATAACAGCTTGATAACTAGACAAAGATTGAACGCTGCTGTGGTTAAACAGACTTTTTATGCAGCTAATATCATAATAATTGAGAATGTGAAGTCAATATTATCCATCTAAGCCCATTGGACATGCGAAAAATGATGTCACATCCCACTGATTTACCAATTTGAATGTACGTGTAGCCACATATACATAGGGAGGACTCATCGATCTCTGCAAGTAAGAGCTGGCTTCAGAAGCAAATAGAATCCCCGGAACCCATTAATGGTGAGAACAGACGACCTAGCTCCTCTATTGCGAACACATATTATAGAGACAGGACATAAAATTGATGTTTACACGCCTTTCAAACTTATCTATAAAACGTGTTTGCGGTGGATCCTTAAGTTTGCGGAAGCCCTAGCAATTAGTAAGTTTAAAGCACCTCTATGCGTTTAAAGCAACAATTCATCATCACACTAAACCTACCGTCCTTGGTAAACTTTGTTTTGATACCGGCCAGGGTAGATGTACTATTACCTTTGTTATTTGGTTTAGTGATCTTCATTGTTATTTTGACCTTCAATATGTACTTTTAACTTGACCTAAGTAGTCTATTTTCTCACCTCTTAACTCTTTATGAATTATGTATATATATATATATATATATTCCTATGACAAGTCCGTTTGTGATCAATTTGTTCGAAATAAGTGTTGTACGCAAATACATTACAACGCGATTCAGATAAATTACGACATTATTCTCCAACCTACTCCTAAATTTAACCGTAAGCCTAACCTTAATCTTATAAGCCACAACTCTACCTAACAGTATCGATTTGTAGAAGTATCTAGTAAATAAGTAAGAATACTGCACCTGCCCTCTCCAAGTCCAAAAAGGCAGAAATGATGCGATTTGGAATGACGTTTCATAGCATTCCCTGTGTCTGATCTGTTCTTCAAAGTAAACTTCAGAAAGACCTTGACTTTGGCTATGGTTTGGTTGCGTAATAGTAAACTAACTGCCTGTTACGGACTACCATGGAGTAAGTCGGGATATACAATTTTTGGGGTCGACGGTTTTAACCCCCTTTTTGTAGACTGAAGAGACAACATAGCTGGCATACTGGTCGTCTGAGGGGAACACCTCACTGCTGTTTCATCCCTGTTCCCTAGCGGTACGACTATGCCTACAGATCCCCAGCATAGTGTAAAAAAGAAAAATTCTTACACTATTCCGGTAACTGCTTTTAGTCTAATCGCTATCCTAACAACCTTCCTGGCATGGTAGGACCTGCAGGAACAATAGTTCCAGCCAGTGTAGCTTGTTGGGTCATTGCGATGTGCAAGCCCGATCACCACGTCAAGGTAGCAGCTATCAGTCGGCTGTGGCGACTTGAATTGCTGCACATCGGTGCCCAGTTTTATACCAAAAACAGACAGACAGATATATATGTAGTCGCAGAACATAAAGAGAAACCCCATTGAAAAAGAGTAAAATAAGCTTAAAAATACAAAATATATATACAGATACCTGTTTCACTGTTGTAACAAGCAATGTTGTTATTTCTCGGTAGGGTATTTTCTTCGCTTGCATTTTTGTCCGTAACAATTCAATTGGTGAGATAGCCATAACTGCAAATACTCGGGATACACCACCAACTAATGGTGGGATAAAATGTTTAGCAGAGGCGTAATTCTGTTCAGTGATATTTTCTGGCATTGATTTATGCCTGGTTTTCGAAGTATATCCAACTTGATGTTTTAACCAATCATTAACAGTAAAGTAGATAACAGTCTGGGGAAGAGTCATTACACTAAAGTACAGAGGAGGATGTGTTAGTTAGTGAGATATCAACTTACAGTGTTGGTGAAAGTCCACTCCATAGTGATAAAATACCTTCATTACGAATAATTTTCATGAGTGTAACCTTTAGAGAAGATGAGTATCACAAAAAAAAACAGAAAAAGCTTTACTAGAATAGATAATAACACAGTTATTGATATTAAATGCCTTACAACTTGAAAAAGCCAAGACTGCACGATTTTATTAGGGAAAAAAGCAAGGGAGTTCTAATGGAGTTTTACCTATGTCACCTATGATTATTGCTAATGCCGACGACACCATAGCCGTGATGCGAGCTGCTCCAGTGATTGATACTATCCCAGAATAATTCTCCTTGAAACCATTGCTACCCTGTTGTGCATCACACGACGGGAACACCTAACCAAGGACCCTTTAGCACTGGAGACAACATACCCTTCCTTGTGGATACAAGATCCCGATTGTCAATCTAATTCCCACTTGTATGAACACCGCTCCTGACTGGCCATCATGCCAAATACCCTTCCAGCAATTCGTGCTGGAGTTACCGAGACATCCATGGCAACCCGTGCTAGTCGTGAGACACAAGTTAGAAATGGTACCAGCCCCCTCGCCCAAACTCCCAGTGATCTGTGTCGTCCGGACCCCCGTAGTATACATTAGGCCTAAGGAGTTTTCCTGCACCATCCATTTGAGCTGATTAGCCAGACGCTTGTGGTAGTGCTTAGCTTGGGCTCAGTAAACTGAACCCTCCCCAGCGGGCGCCACGAAGAGGCGGCAGCCGCGTGTAATTCGACTCTCGGTTCCGCTATTACCCGTGGCCAGATGAGTGTTTTCACGATGATACTCAGAACACTGGACGGAATATAGTCGCTGGGGACTAGGTAGCCAAAAGGAAACTTCTTTATACAGAGGCGTCAAAAAGGAAGGAAGTTCTATTCTAAAACACCTGATCGACCTCTGCCACTCAATCAACCCTTACCATGATTTATTTTAAGATCATTTATCGAATCCAAGCTAAATTCGTTCCAAACTTCTAAAGATAGCGGAGACCTTGGTTATGCACTGAATTGAAACTAGATCTTTGTGTACAAAAGAGGCATGTACAGCCCCACGATTTTTTAACCTTAGTCATAAGATAGAAAGGAGTGTTGAACATTTGCTTATTTTAGTCATCATACATTTCTCTTATGATTACGAATGTCATTACTCTTATTTTTCGTTTCGAACAGTTTTTGGCATTATTTCCCTTGTCTCACTTATTATTTTTAAAGTAAAATACATTTTTCGCAGTGTTAAAATCTATCTTATCAAACTTCTCACCGTGTTATGTAGTGGTCTATTTGCCAACCAATCCTGTTGATTTTACATCTCTTTCCAAGACCTACACATCCTATGAACTCTTTTCTATGACGTTATTTGTCTTACCGCTTGATAGTGAACGCCATCTCTGGTGTACACGCGATGTCCGGCTAGCTGGCTATCGATCAAAAGATGTATGTACTGCTCATCAGTTCGCTCCCACCTCCTCCTGTATGGATGTGAGTGGGACATGAACATCGAAAGTGGAAGAAATAAAAGCCTGGTTAGCTGTCTTTCATCATAGGTGTATGCGTTCTACCTACATCCCGTGTTAGGTGGTATAATAGGGTGAGCAATATTGAGATTAGGCTTTGGTCGAGTGTTAGGTAAAAAGGGAAAATCAATTGACAAGATTGTGAAGTTACATCGATTGACATGGTTAGGACATGTGTTGTGCATGCATCTCTAGTCACCGCCTTCCTCGACAGTCAACCTTAGTTGACATAAGATCGACCAGGTCAAACTAAAACATGACTTTATCAGTCAATGAAATCCACAACAGCTAGTTTAAGCCAGCCACTTTGGGATGTGTAGACTGCTTGGCTGGTTGTCATCCTCAGGATGGTAAGAAGCAGTGACAACTGAAGACAATTGGTGATATGGCTCAAAATCCTCGTTGTCGATGATGGCGCAGATGCATTCACTGTTTGTGATTTGTCATATACAATAAAACTCTATTATTCTTCCATATTACTACTATTTTCTCCTCATTCACACTTCTATTTATTATCCCTCGTTTGAATCTGTTTTTACTCTCTTCTGTTGCTTTGTGTGGTACATGGAGGGAGTGTGGTAATTCGAACCACTGCATATCTGTGCAGAGATCTATGTTGAAACCAGTCAGTCAGTTTATTTTCAACTATGATTACGATTAAAAACATCTTATAGAATTCCACATTATTATTATAGGTATGTACACCTTTTATTTAGATTTCCTGTTGGGATATTGTTGCTAAGATACCAAATATACATATATATAGATATCCGTTCGCAGAGCTGGATTATGAATTCTTAGAAAAGTCCGTTCATTAAATATTGTGCTCTTAAAATATGACAATATATACTATCTGTAGAACCCTGTACAGATGTATTTATAAAACGAAGACTCACAAATTGAAAAACTAATGAAATTTAAAACACAATTAAAAGCGCCACATCATATCCAAAACTTCTTAGGTTTATCCCCCGAAATAACTCAGGAATGTTACAGAAAGATACTAATAGCACAAGACATATAAGCGAACAATATAGTTGATTTTAATTAGATCTTCTACAGGCTTTACTCTAATTTACATAGCTTTATATATAAGAAGAAATTTAACCAATGACGGCGAGTTTGTGGATCAAATTATAATAATAATGTGTTAAATGTTAAGAATTTCAGTAATAACGGTGATTATAATGATAAAAAATTAATGATAATAAGGTTTATGCGGCTGGCGATAAGAATAACGAAGGTGGTCATATGTGTATATGTAGACAATACAATAAATAAATTAGGTCAAATCTTACAGGTTACGTAATACTAAAGATGAAGTAGACAAATATTAGGCTTTAAATAAATATCATAAAAGTACGAAGGAAACGGAAAATAAGAAAGGGTGGGAGGGTTTTGATTAGAATTCACCTACGCCGAGGCAAAGACAGAGTTGGAACAAACTTCTCTATTATGCAAAGACTAAGATTGTTCTCTCGAATTCCTATAGCTTCGACTATGTGTAAAAGGCAGGTTCGAATTCCCTTCGAAAGGTTCGCTAGAATGCGATAGATAACTTCGAAGGCATTGCTTCTGTGCACACTTGGTGACCACTATCGACCAAATGTGACAAAATAGGACTTTTTATAGATTTCACTTGGCCTTTTCCGAATCGTGAAAGAAGATACTGTTGGGTAGAACATTCTCCTATGCATGTCTTTAGTAAATGAAGAGTGGTGATCGCGTTTTGACCAGTGAAAGTAGGTTACTACTGAGTTGTGCTTGTCATTTAACAAATTATTTTGACTAACAAACTAGGGTCTAGGAATACTTAGGCAGTTCGTAGGCCACGAATGATACAGTACGTTTGGTACATACTCATATTAATATGGTTATTATGAGTAATAATTTATGTTCAGAACGTCACCAGCAGATAGGAAAATGTTCCGGCTAACCTACTACACTAGGAATTCAAAACGGTCAGATAGGTATCACACAACTTCTACTCTTGCAATTTGTTAACTCTTGCATTGTATGCATTATACTTAACTGCTACCACTTAGTATCTCGTGGATTACTCAAAAATGACTATGTCATATTGAGGGGAAGAGTTTTAAAGGTTGTCAGTAGGGAAAAAGGTGTGCCAATAAGTCAGCTCCTTACTACTGGAGTCGACAGACATCTGCCTGAACTCATATGAGAAATGGTTTGAATCCATATTGTCTGACTCTTAACATACCGTTTCTATTCTCAACTCCCTCCGCCTTGTATGTCATCAGTTTGGACTAGAAGTCAGTAAAAAAGATTATGTGCTCGTACAATGAAGCACAAAAACTGACCCGCGTCTTATGTGCCGAAGAGTGTTAGGCGCGAAACCTACGAATTACTACTTTACTAGCAAAATAATTGCCTGTCTTACTCTCTCCTATTTGCAATTTATGTTGACACTATTAAAATTAACTTATAAATTTAGCTATTAACATTATTTTACACTTTTTGTAAAATTATGACTTAATTGTCACTGCAAATGCCAATACAGTTGCGATTAGTAATCCTGTAATGTCACTTTTTTTTTATTTTTGTTGTTGTCGAGTAAATTAGATGTAATATTGTACGAAATGCTGAAAATTCGACACTGTATCATAAGTACTAATCTTTTGGAATAAAGCAAATTATTATCATTATAAATCTTACAGTAACACTAAGTTAGATCCCTATTGAAATTGTCTGTCATTCCGAAAATAACCGATGGCGTAGGCATCAAAACTTTGGAAGTTAGAAAAACTCAATACATTGACAACAGTATGATAGGTAAATCAACGTACCAGAACTCTTCAGTGCAACCAATATCTAAGAACCAAGTTATTACTTTTACTATTAGTCACTAATTTCTAGCTTTGAACTAGTTTCTCCACAAATATAATCCTTCATATTGTTTAGTCATCCGGTGTCCATTAATACAGATACTAGATTTCTTAGTGAATCCAATCTAGTAGCTGCTTTGTACCAGCCTCTAAACAAACTACACTGCCTCCACTAACAGGGAATAAACCAAACAATGTTATGTCGACATTTTCCCTAGGTCTGATTCTACTATGGAACCGTCTATTTTTCTCACTTAACACATCAGATAGTCAGAATTATCCGCAGAAATCATGAAGTGTGGAATTTAATACGACCACAAAGATCATTTTATAACATGACCTAAATGAAAAATTCCGGGGCAACTCAGTGAAAATTCCTTGGGGAAATGCTTCACTCACCTCCCCAAAACGACTCGAAATCACCTCAAAATCTTTTATTTGGGAATAAGTGAATAAGCATGACCTGACAAAATTTCCTTACTGATCATATATCCGAGGTTTTATTTAAAATTGGCTATTACCACACTGCCTTCACTTTTAAAAATATTTAAAGTGTTGTTAAATTTAGCAGTTAACTGTCACCTTGTCCTAATCCTGAGACATTGTGAACAGTACAAGACATTTCAAAGGACCAGACTTACTGTAGCGCTTGGGGTACGCCGATAGAAAGTGACAAAGGATGGATTTTCAGAATGCAGGATACATGTGGAGCAAGAGTGAGATTCATTGGAGGTAAACCAATTCCATCTGCCAGAACATTTCATTGCATTTTTTGACCACGAGACAGCGCACGTGTTAGGACTAAGTGAGCATGTGCAAAGCCTTTCTATTAGCCCATTGCAATAAGTAAGACATTTGCTATCCGAATACACTCGGTGGGACTATCAAAAAATTTTTTGAAACTAAATTATGCGTTACCTGCATCCGCACTTTCAAGACGTCTAGGGGTGTCATAACAAAAGCTGTCATTATCCCACCAACCGAAGAAGCAACGATTCGGTGGAAAAGTGAGATATCGGGCTTCTTCCTTTCACCATTTTTAGTCATCTTAGCCCTTTTCCTCGCTACACTAGACTTTCATCGTCAACCCGCCGTAAACCATACTGTGCGCTGTTAGTCAAGGACAGAGGAGAGATTCAGAGTTTTGATTGAGGATAGGAATTTTCAAGCCAGTAATAATCCTTTTTAACTAGTATTTACGCCCATTCAATTCCTTTATGGACATGCTGACTGAGGGTGCAGGCACCAGTTCTTCTGGGAGTCGGTTCCAAGAGTGTATGGCTCTATGGGATAACCAGTACTCCTTGGCTTTGGAACTCTCCTCCTACTACGTCCTTTGCGATTTTATCACCTAATGAATAGGAAGAAAGGAGATATATCAGGTCCATAGTCACTCAATTTTGAACTTTCTGATGATATCTGCACTCTGCTTATGGTCTGATATGGAGAAGAGATTCAAACTAATCAGTCTTTCCTCGTTTCTGGTATCGCTTTTACCAGTTAGTATCAGTCAGACTGATTCCTCTGTGGCCACTTATTGGTTGTAAGGTGAAGGCTTTTGATCTTTGATAAACTTCAGCATCCAATATCCAATGTCGTTTTTACAAACTAGTTTAAACTATTTCGATTTCTTTGTGCTCGCTTCTTGGTTGCAAGTTCATCCTGCCACTCTACTGGTGAAGCTTTGGTTGACTCTAAAAGGAGTGGTTCTGGGATTGATTATATGTGGTTTGTAGTATGTGGTATGTAAGGACTGTGTCGGTACTGTGAATGTAGCTGATCCTATCACCCGTTAGTCGTCCGGTGTGGTCGAAAAGGGAGATAACAGTATCAAAAACAGACATAATTTGTGTAGATTATGAAGACTTAAAAAGAAAAGAAAGAAAACATAGAAACAGAATGTTAATGAAATTTTAAATCGTTATCCACATATATATCAGTAATAAGGGAAATAATAGTTGGAGTAGTCAGAAGGGTAAGACAAGAGAGAATATGAAGAAGTAAAACGATGATTTTAGGTGCATATCGGCTGATAGTGTGTGAGTTCTAAGGGGATAGGCCATTTGGACACAGTCCTTTGTCGGTGCATGACTGTCCAGTCTCCACTTACAGCTTCCTATGGAGTGTGCAATAGCCACATTTGCCAGTGAAGTGTTCCAGGGACGCCAAGCCCGCAGTGAAAAGAAGTGAGAGAGCACTCATGTCTTCGCCTTTGGTCGAGCTGTCCTTCTGGGATTACCACGAGGAGGCCCATACGTAGTTAATGACAGAATACCTTCGTTTGGGTGATTCTGATCATTCGTAATCTTATAGGTAGTAATCAAGTTCTCTCTAAGCCGACGGTAGCTAAGTATGAATAGACCTAACTTCTTCAGCCGTTCATCATATGGTTTACTTCGGAGACCCACCATCTCTTAGGTCTCCCGTCCCTTAAACGTTTGGTGTCCCTTCAAATTAGCTGCAGGGCAGCGATAATGTGCACTTCACGGTACGGTCTTTCGTATGTTTTGCACAACCATAAAAAGAGCACAGGAGTGACAGCACCTAACTATGTGTAAAATTTATGACCACATACGCCCTTGCTATATCTCCCACGTAATTCACGCTTGTGTCCATTTTCTGTCACAGAACTAGACCTATGGAGCGCTCCAACTGATCTCAGTTTGGAATTTTCCTTCATCTAGGTAGTCCTCCAACCATAACAGAAGCGGTCCACTTACAACTGCCTGACTTATTTTGTATAGGAGGTCACGGCGAACTGTGCCAAGCGTCTTCTTAAAGTCTAGGAAGATCACTTGGCCCGGAGCATTCATACCCCAGGATGATGTCCAATCATTCCAAGCTGATAGTATGTTTGTCACGCAGGATCTACCTCTCCTGAAACCATGTTGTGCTTTACGGAGTCCTGTCGGAGTTTTCTCTGATGTTATCATCAACCAGAACGTCGAGTACTTTGGATACGGTTGAGAGTAGTGCTACTGGTCCATAACTCATGGCATTTTGTCTATTACCATCCCTGAAAATGGGAGAAAGGATAGCTCTCCTGCACCTCCTTGGCAGTTTTCCAAAATCCACCGAATGTCGGAACAGGCTGCGCAAGAGCTCACAGACAGCTTCAGTACTCTGCTTTAGAACACGTGGCCCGATATCGTCACAATCTGGGGACTTTCCAGATGCCAGTTTCTGCAACTTCGCTAGTAACATTGCGGGGTCTGTCTGAAGATTAGCCAGCGGATTTCCTCTTGTTAAAATAGCGTTGCAGTCTTTCTGGCCTGAAGCATTAATAACCAGACTGCTGAATGTTTCATACATTTTCAATCTAGTTAGATATTGACCATTTGGATCTACTAAGACGCATGCCGCATAGTCGGTAGGTTTTCTCTCCTACATGAATCGGTACAGTCTTTTGGTACTTGCCAGCAGTTTTCTGACAAGATTTACCTGAAGTGCCCCCTTGTCACCTCTGCCTCTTGTTTTGCTTCGGTTCCTGATTTCCAGGTGTGGGTTTGGTCAGTGTAACCCTTCGAGATTTGATACGAAGACCAAGCTTTCCGCTATTTTTGCAGAATACTATTTTTCAGCCATGAGGACTGTTTCCTAAGATGTATTGTGACTAGAGGGACGATATGTGAGCTCACTGTATGATTAATCCCTTTTACCACTGCATATACGTCCTCTACGGATAACTCAGCCCAGTCTATGGTGCATTCTACGTCGGACAAAAGCCTTTGCATTTTGATGCGGTCGGCTTTGCCACTGCACAAACAGGGCGGCGTGGCATCCCACTGTAAACGCCGACAAAGGACGATATCAGACACAATGGCCGCATGGTCGTGATTTCGACGATTTAGACTAGTAACTGGTCACTAGTTAGGACATAATCCAGTTTCGATGACTGTCCATTGGGCCCCCACCTACAACTGTCTCCAACATTCTCAGTCGGTCCTGCATTTTTAATGGTTTGCATTATATTTCGACCGAATTTTCCTTGAGCATACCCCGGGTCAAGGTTAGGGGATGGGGCATTGAAGTCTGCAGCTATAGTGATTTTGTCGCAGCCCAGTGCTGGGCAGTAGCTGGTTGCGTTCTGCCCCACAGATTGGTGATCGATAGATGCGTCCTAATAAATGCTTGTTGGGGCCCAAGGTGTAGTGACACCAAATATAGTCTGTGTATCCAGTAAGAGGTGGGCTGCAAGTACTCATTTAAGTTGCTTGCCAAAGTGAATGGCAACTCCCCCTTCCTTGTTATCCTTGTCTCACCTGACCAGAACCAGATCACTGATACTGATTTCATTTTTCGCAATAGTAGGGGTTAGTCAGGTTTCAGTCAGAATAATTGTTTGAAGGTGTACGTGTGACTGCAGTTTTCTGAGCTCGCCTACACTTCCTCTCAGTCATCACACATTCCTACACAGGCAGCCGGCAATGAGTTTCACCACCTGAGCGGGCCCTGAAGTAGTTGACTCTATGTAGGCTGCTGGTATAGGATTTGACATTGGAACCAGTTGGTCGATTCCTCAGGGTCCACCTAAGAGACTTGAGTGATGTTGGTTGTCATTCTCAGTGCTGAACAGCTGCAGTGTCACTGAGGCGTGGGGACATATTTTCACCTCGGACTGCTGCTTCCTTAGGCTTCGACGTGGGCTTTCGCATTATCGGATATATCTTTTGATTCTAGCCTTGGCCTACTACCACTGTTAAAGCACTATGGCCTACCACTCAAGGGAGCTGGATCTGACATCTAGTAGCCTTAGGGAACTGATCGGTGCGAGATTAGCGGGAAGAGGTAGTCCACAAGCCTAGATTACCTCCGAAATCACCATGGGTCATCTGAGATGATAGATATAATAATAATAATGTATTTCATATAAATTTACAAATTTACATGAAAATGCATGCCATTATTACAGGCACGATCAAGTATGATATAATATCAAATCGTAGATTGTCTACAAGTTAATCGTATTTCAACTGTTAAATATTCGATACATATAATACACTCATTTTCTGAATTAGGCCGTATAGTTATTGAATTGTACAGTTGTCCTCCAGGTTGAGCGGGAAAATCGACTTCGTTCCGTTTTCATCCCGTGGTTGTAGGCATACGATAACCAACCAATATTGAGGTAAGTACACCTTTTACAAGGGATTGGAATCTGTTTTAGAAAAATTAAAGTGCTGAGGTGAATCATTAAATTGTAATGAAATAGGTAAGTGCAAGTATCATTAATAAATGCATTAATAAAGGAAACACCCTAGGGTAACAACATTCATTTGCAATGTATAATGCTACAGATATATCACAAACTATCATGATATCCACTTTTGGTTTTAATACAATTATCCTCATGCCAGTTGTTTTTATTTTATACCTTTTTGTGCATTTAGTGCACAACCGTACCCTTCAGAGAGTAGGAGTATAATAAGTAATGAAGAGCTATAAGATGTTAAGTTTAATGGAGTAAAATGAGGATCAAGTAAAGACGTTGTCAGAAAATAAATGAGATAAGACATTGTGGAGTGGTATGAAAAGATCTGACGATAGACAGCAATTTAATTTATAAGATGCCCCATAAATCTGAGCAGATCCCACATGGTCGCATCTCAACAATAGGCTGGGTGAATGGTATATATTTAAAGGTAGAAGCATGATCTGTCAAGGCGTTCATTGTTATCTTTTTCAAGATAAAGATTTAAGCCCTCATAAAAACCAGAAATATCTCGAGCCTTCAAATTTTTTAATGCTGTTCCTGCAGAATGGGGCGATTCACCTTAGTGACCCCCACCATATCTACTGATCAGCTAACTCCACCCTCCCACCTTTTTTGATGTTAGGCTCTGAGACTATGATTATTATGGTTACCGCAAATATATTGCTTGGTACCAGACATGTTCGTACCCCATATTCCATCTCCCTAGCTTTCTTAATGAGTGCTTCCAATAGGTCCCCGCGTACATCTTTATGAACATATTATATATGTATGCATGCGTCCTAATGAACAGATTACTTTATAAGAAGTCGAAACCTTGAAGAATAACAAGAATAGGTTTTGTGAATAGTGGAGAAAGATTCAGCAGAACAATATAGTTAGGGTTCAATATAGGTAGTATGAACTGA